CAAAAACCAACTCAAGGTGGATCATGGACCTAGGACTAAAACCAAGGACTATAAACTTCATTAAAGAAAAGCTTGGAAGAACTCTAGAAGGCCTAATCCACAACATAAACGGTCTTCCAAGCATCCTGAAAAACCTACAACCAGGAGAGGATAAAATAGATTAATGCAACCTTCTAAGAATCAAATCTCTTGCACATCCAAAGACTTCTCCAATAGGGTAAAAAGGGAAGCCAAAGACTGGGGAAAAGTATTTGGTAATGACATGTCAGATAAGGGAGTTATACCTAGAATTTATAAAATACTTGAGCATCACAACAAGATAAAGGGAAACAATCCAGCTAACAAATGGGCACCGGATATGAACAGACACTTCATCAAAGAAGACATTCCAATGGCGAACAAACGCATGAATAAATGTTCAAAATTCCTAGTTCTAAGAGAAATGCAAATCAAAACAACTGTGAGCTATCATCTCACCCCAGTAGGAATAGCAAAATTTAACAGAACAGCAAGCAACAAGTGCTGGTGAGGTTGTGGAGAGTCTGGAACCTTTATTCACTGTTGGTGGGAGTGTAAAACGATGCAACCACTATGAAAGGCTGTATGGCGCTTTCTCAAAAAAGGTGCAAATAGAAATACCATTTGACCCAGCAATTCTACTACTGGAAATACACCCTAAAGAAATCATAACCACCACTCAAGAAGATATATGCACACCCATATTTATCATGGCTTTGATCACAATAACAAAGAGTTGAAACAACCCAAGTGCCCATCAACAAATGAATGGATAGAGAAGCTGTGTATATTCACACAATGGAATACTACGCTGCATTGAAAAACAAGGAACTCATGAAATATTATTCAAAATGGGTGACCATGGAGGACATTATGCTGAGTGAAATATCGCAGTCATAAAAGAACAAATACTGCATAGTGCTGTGTTGTAAAATGCGATTGACATAGAGGTTGTGGGTGAGACTGAGAAAGAAGGAATAAATTGAGGGAGAGAACTGTTTAAAAGGAATATATGATTAGATATTATTGTCATGACAGGAGTCTAGAATGAAGGCTGCATAGTGGAGTGGACTTGGGGGGAGGGATTGTATAACAATGAAAGAATTTTTCTTTTACTTTTTAAAGAGAAGAGCAACCTGGGGGGAAGGGGTGGATGGGGAGAAACAATGAATGAATGAAAATCCAAAGTCTCTGTAAATTTTCAATAAAATTGATAATAATGAGGGAGCTCTGGTGGCCTAGTGGCAAGAAGCTGCACTGCAATCCCAGATGTGAGCAGTTCGAATCCACCAGATGCTCTGCTGGAAAAGGAGGGACAATGTCCTCCTGCACCAGTCAGGCACGATTTGATGGTACACACACACACACACAAAAAAAATATTTAAAAATTGGAAAAAATTAATAATAGTGTCTTTGACTATGCTATATAGAGTTGGGTGAACCCCAATCTAATATGAGTGTTGTCTGTGTGTGTACTGTCAAATCGGATCTGACTGGTACATGAGGAGATTGCCACTCCTTCTCCAGCAGGGCATTTGGTGGATTCAGACAGCTCGTCTCTGGGATTGCACTGCAGCTTCTTGCCACTAGGCCACCAGAGCTCCCTTGAGTGGTATCTTTTAAAGAGAAGGAGATGGTTTCTATGAAGATGGCATTGAAAGTGAAGAAGGAAGCTCCTGCCTCTCCCAAAACTGAAGCCAAAGCAAAGGCATTAAAGGCCAAGAAGGCCATCCTGAAGGGCAACCACACACACACACACACACACACACACACACACACACACACACACGTCACCCACCTTCTGGCAGCCTAAGATGCAGAGACTCTGAAGGCAGCCTAAATTCCCCCAGAAGAGCACCCCCAGGAGAAACAATCTTGACTACTATGCCGTCATCAAGTCTCCCCTGACCACTGAGTCAGCTATGAAGAAGATAGAAGATAACAACACACTTGTGTTCACTGTGGATGTCAAGGCCAACAAGCACCAAATCAAATAAGCTGTAAAGAAGCTCTATGACATTGATGTGGCTAAAATCAACATCTTGATTAGTCCTGATGGAGAGAAGAAGGCCCATGTTCGACTTGCTCCTGACTATGATGCTTTGGACGTTGTCAACAAAATTGGGATCATCTAAACTGAGTCCAGCGGGCTAATTCTAAATACAAACTTTTCTCAAAAAAAAAAAAAAAGAGAGAGAGAGAGAGTAAAAAGGTGGCTGTGAGGTGATGGAGTCAAAGACAGGCCCAGCATTGCCAGCGCCACCAGAAGCTCGGAGAAGTCAAGGGGAGAGAGCCTGGCCTAAATGTGAAGGTGGTGAATCCACCCGCTGCTCTGAGAAAGATGAGCGATCTCCTCTTGAATAATTTATAGCCGCTGAAAAACCACTAGAGGATCAGTTATGAGTTGGTCCTGATTTTGCAGCATTGAATTAAGGTGAATTAATGCCTTTAACCTCTGTTGTTGTGCACCATCAAGTCAAAACCCTCCCAAAGCTGACTCTCCAGTGGGTTTTCAAAGGCAGGAAACTGCACAAGAGAAGACTGCCCATCTTTCTCCTGCAAACCAGCTGTACCTTTGTGTTGGCCGTGCAACTCCTTACCACTAGGCCACCAGAACTCTCTCTAGGGCAGTGAAAAAGTATATTTCTCTTGTTTTAAGCCACTGGTGGTACTTTATTTCAGCAGCCCTAGGACACCAGGACAGCCCACAAGTCTGTGGTGACCATTTGGGTGGGTGATCAACTGTCTCCCTCAGGAATTTTGTCATTCTCAAGCATGGGGGGGGCAGTTGAAGGTGACTAGGTACTTTGGGGTACTCATTAAGAGATTCTGATACATATCATTTAGGGCTAAGTCTCAAGGCCTTGGAGGGATATGAAGATGGTTGTCTAAATATCTATGCTTTGCCAGAAACTGTGTCTTGATGTGAAGGTGGGCAGGAGAGATAGAGACTTAACTGACTAGTTTCAGGGAGATTTGGCAGGGAGGAAGTTCTTCACCTATATTTAGTAGAAACTGAGTTTTAGGGTTCAGATGTCCAGCTTGGGGGAGATTTAAGCTAGGTGGGTTCTACATGCCAATTTAAGACTAATTGAGTTTAAGGGTTCAGTTGTCTGACTTGATGAAAACAGTTATAAACACTTAGTTTTGGGGTGGTTCAGATCCAGTCCCATTTCCTCATTTGTGATTGTCGTGGGGGTAACACACAGTAGGTACTTTATTCCAGCAGCCCTAGGACACCAGGACAGCCCACAGCTAGGACTCTGAGCAGATTGTGGGTGGTACATCTTTAGCCTTCAGTGAGGAAGGAGAAAGCATAACTTAGGTGTACTAACTTTGGGGTCCTGTGGCCTAATTTTTGGGTGGCTGGGTCTGCAGGAATCAATGCCTAGTTTGGAGGTGACTTATTGATCCTTATTTGGAGGCAACTGAACCAAAGGCCCATTTCCCTTGTTCCCTTGTGGTCTGGTGGTAAGGAAGTACGCTGCCCACCCAAAGGTACACAGTTCAAGTCCATCAATTATCCCGCTCAAGAAAGATGGACAGTCTTCTCCCGCGTGATTGACTGCCCCTGGAAACCCGCTGGAGGGTCAGTTATGAGTCTGAATCGAGGGAACGAAACAACAGGAGTATCTTAGGGCAGCTCTGGTGGTGTAATCCCTAGGGGGTTTCGCTGCTAACCCATAGGCTGTGTGTCCGGAGGTTCAAATCCACTGATGGTTTAGAAGGAGAAAGGAGTCTTGGGAACCGCAACAGTGTCACTATGGGTGACAAGACTGCAGTAAGTGATGGGTAATTTCGGGCTGGGTGCCTTCTCAGGAGCAAGTAGGGGTGGAGACCAGAATCTCCCTTTTTGAAAAGTCCAGGCATGGGCTCAGACGCATGGGCTCAGTCCTTCTCGGTGTTTCTGGGCTGGCGAGCCATCCATGTGGCCTGGAGTGACAGAGCCTAGAGAAGAGATCTTGGTCTGATCCCACCAGGGGGTCAGCTAGGAGGTCCTAAGGTGAGTGGGGCTCACGTGACTAATTTATGGGTATCTAGGAGCCTCCTTGGGGAAATCCGAGATCCTGACCTTCAGATCTAGGGAGCCTGGCTCTACCTCTGCTACCCCAATACCCCGCCCCTACAGGGGCTCTGCCAGAAGACGGTCCCTTCTGGGATGGCTGACTCAGGGGGTCGCTCGCCTGGAGTGCGGAGTTGTGGTGGGGCCCGAGGGGGTCCTGGCGGGTGGGAGGGTGCGCTTCGGCGCGAAGCCCGGCTCTGGCCCCCCAGGCAGGCTGCGGCGGGGGGTTCCCGCGGGAAGCGGAGCGCAGCGGGGCGGCCGGCGGCGGGAGGGCCAGCGCCGGAGTGACAGGAGAGGAAGAAAAATGGGCCGAGAAATCAGAGTGGACGCGAGGGGGGCGCGAGCCCGAGAGCGAGGGGCGGCGGCGGCGGCGGGGGCCGCGCCTGGGCCTCGGGGGACTCTGCCCGCGCGCCTCCCGGAACCCCGTCCGAGGGGCCCCCTAATTCCAACCCCGTGCCTCCGGGGGTCCCAGTGCGCACCCCTCCCGCACCCCAGTCCCCTCCCCTGCATCCCAGCCACCTCCTAGGCATCCTAGTCCCCACCTCGCATTCCAGCACCCCCGCCTCCCCCTCCGGGGACTTCCATTGACCCCCCCCACTCTTTCACCCCTCTCCCTGCTCAGCCTCCGCCGCCTGCGTTCTAGACGCTGCGCCCACGTTCTAAACTCCGCAACCTGGGCGCCCTCCCCCTCCAAGTCCCAGACACCCCCTTTCCACAACTTGGTCCTCGCATCCTGACTCCCTCCCGGTTGGGTCCCACTGGGGCCCCTCAGCCCCGTCTCCCCCAAGGTTGGGAGCGGAAATGGGGCGGTGGCGGGGGAGGGGCAGGGCGGGGGCGGCGGCCAATGGAGCGGGAAGCAGGACAAATGAGGCCCGGCCCGCGTGGCCGACAGGCCCCTCCATCTTCCCATTAGCGCCTAATGGCCCCCCCGCCGCAGCCTGATGAAGATTTATCGGCCCCGGAACCCCCGGCCGCCCCCGCCCGGGCCTCCCCGCGCCCCGCGCGGACACCTGATGAAGCCGTCAGCGGAGGGAGGGGCGCGCGGCTCCCGGGGACCCCACGAGGCAGAGACCACCCCAAGACAGTCCCCGAGCCCCGGGCGGATTTGAGGGGAGGGTCTGGTCCACCGTCTAGGGAGCACCCCAACAGTGAGCACTAACCCAGGACAGGGAGGGAGCCTTTGGCCAAGTTTGAGAGAAGATGGAACTGGGGTCCTGAAACCTGGGTCTTCCGGAGAAGTGGATTCTGGTTGCGAACTTCAAAGAACGAGGAGGAGGATGGTGCCCCATTCCTGGGTCCTGGGGAGAGGAAGGGGAGCTGGGGGAGGGGTCCTGGCTCTGAGAGAGGAGGGCTCTGGAGTCCAGGGCCTGAGAGGCTTAAACTTAGGTCCTCGAAGAGACGGGATTGGGAATCCCCTCATTCCCTCATCTCCAGGGACTGAGGGAAGAAGGGGTTGGGGACCCCCCTGGACTCCCGGTCTGAGGGAGGAGGGGGCTGGGGGCCTGGACTCCTGGGTCTGAGGGAGGAGGGAGCTGAGGCCTGGACTCCTGGGGCTGGGGAAGGAGGAGCTGGAGGTCCTGGGCTTGAGGCTGGGAGCCCGGCATTGGGGGGCTGGGTTGGGAGCCCTCTGATTGATTTCTGTTTACCGGCTGTCCCCGCGGGCGGAAGAGCGAATCGCGCCCCATCCATCAACAGGCTCGCAGCCTCCCTAATAAAAACATTTTACTCCTAAATGATCTCGAACTAATTAACTCAAAGTGTTAATTAAAGTTTGCGCAGACAGCATTGTCATCAGGCAGGGCGGTGGATCCATCTTCCTAAGAGGGAGAGAGAGAGATGGGCTTGGGGGGGCATCTGAAAAGAAGACCAAGTTCCCCACCCCCTCACTCTAGCGTCCCTGCCCTGTCCCCTGTCTCCTGCGTGTCTCTCCCCACCCGGACTCCACTTTCTGAGGGTTTTTCCCTCTTTAATTCTGTGTCTCTTCTTCTGACACAATGTCACTGTGCATCTCTCCGGGTCTCTTGCCATCTCTGGTTCCTCACTTTGCTCCCATTAATATGGAGCCTTTCTGTACATACCTCCATGTGCATTGAGGTTGTGTGTGGATTCTGTGTGCCAGGGGTCACACGTGTGCCCATGTGTATATCATAGGACACGTGTGCCGTTTTGGACATGTGTAACAGTGTAAACGTGTGAATACAGGGTCCATGTATGGCCTCATATGTAAGTGTTCAGGGGTTAAAGTGTTGGCATGAGTGTGTTACATGGCTGTGCTGTGGACTAGGGTGTCAGGGTTTGTGTGTGCACACATGCTTGGAGCCCATGGGTGTGTATCTGGTGTGCCTGTGTGTGGACACTGGTGGGTGCAGCTCTCTGTGTGAACAGATCAGTGTGGAAAGGTGTGTGGTCAGGGTCCAAGTGTGGATTCGTTCTTGTGAGCCCAGGAATGTGTATAACTTTGCACGTCAGAATTTATCTCAGGGTGTGTGTTTGTGGATGTGTGTGTGTGTGTGTGTGTGTGTGTGTGTGGTATGCAGGGATGCTGTGGCTAGCAGCAGGCTGGGGAGCTCTACCAAGGTGTCTGTCCCTGAGGCTGTTTGAGGGTGCTTGGGGTCCCCCAGCAACGGGCCCTGGGTGTCTCTCTGTTCTCCATACAGCATTACCACACACAGGCCATCAGGTCATGCAGGATAAAAGGCTGCAAGTCAGTGACCAAACTTGAACTCCTTCTCCAACTCAGGTGAACTCCTCCCTGAGCCCCTGACCCGCCTCTTCCTCCTCCTCTCCACCTCCTTGGCCCCCCCTCTCCCCCACAGGCCAGTAGGGCAAGGGAGCTGGGGCCATCATAGGCCACCAGGCCATGGGCATCAGTGGGGTGGCTGGCTGGGCGGCCCCGGTGTGAGCTCATACATCAGGGCTGACAGGCTCCGAAAGCCCCGGAATTAAAACCTAAATCGAATATTGATCACCCGCTCCGGCCGTGGTGCCCATGACGGCCCCCCCCCCAGCTCCCTCTCGCTTGTTCCCTGCTCTCAAGCGTCACCGCTGTCCTGTCTCTTTCTCTCTGTCTCTCGCCTCCTCTCTCTCCAGCTTCTCCCTGTCCTGACCCCTTCTCCCCAGTGCCTTCTGGGCTGAGACCAAGACCAAGAGACACCCAGAGACTGAGAAACACTGAGGCACCAAACAACACCAGTTTAACACAGAGCTGAAGGCAGACACACAGAACGAGTGACATGTGGACACCAAACCCAGGCAGGCAGACGGACAGACATACCCAGAGACCGACAGAGACACACACACACAGACACATACACACAGAGACCGACAGAGACACACACACACAGACACATACACACAGAGACCGACAGAGACACACCAAGGAAGTTACACACCAAAAGTCACCAAGATATACACAAGAACACTGCAGCCAAGGGAAGTTACTCTCGGGCCCAGACAGTCAGACAGATGTCCACAGAGTTACAGTCACATAGGGCCACACAGGACACGGAGTAGAGACACATACAGGGAGCTAGGCCCAGTGGCACCCGAGTTCCAGGACCCAGACCGAGGGCAAGAGGGACAGAAAGTCACACAGGCATGACTGCACCTGCCCGGGAGTGGCACAAACCAGGGACGCACTCCCTTTCTCCCTCTTTCCACTTAGGCCAGACCCTGCTGCTGCCCCCTCCCCCTCTCCCCACATTCCATTCCCTCCAGAGGCCAAGGAAGGGAGGCCTGGCCAGCGAGGGAAATCCCACCCTTATCCTCCTCCAGCCCAACCTCATCCCAAACACTGGGTCCAGGAAAGGAACTGGAGAGTGGAATCCCTAGAAAGAAAAAAAGAAAAAAAAAACAAACCAAAAAAAAAAAAACCCGGTCCACATCCAAAGAAGGGCGGAGACAAGGCCAAGGTCATGGTTCCAGGTCTGGCCTAGGGATCTGGGTCCCTATCTTTGAGACCACCTGTGGGATCCAGGGCAGACAGCGGGAAGAACTTCCCAAGACCATGAACGCTGGGGTGCATCCGAGGGGGTCGGGGCGCTGCCCCAGCCCCCACCCACACCCCGCGGTTTCTAGGCTGGGGCGGGCGGCCGCGGAGGCGGGCGGTGGCGACTGCCGGGGAGAAGATGAATCTTTCATGAGTGATTTGCGGCCGCCTCTTCTCGTCCCGTGTTGTTTAATGTTTCAATTTGGGCGAAAGCAAAACATTCAATCAGGCGGATTAAGTGCGTAATGCGTCTCATCGCTCAATCTGTCGCCTCCGCCGGGCAGCCCGCCGGGTGGGGGGGCTGAGAGGGGGTGGCAGGCAGAGACCCCAGCTCGGGGATTGGGGGGAGCCTGGTCCCCAGCTTCTTTCCCAGCGCTGCGCCTCTGGGACGCGCCCCCCCCCCCCAGGACTAGACGCCTCTCCATCCACATCCTGCCCGCCAGGCCCCAGTCTCCTGGGATCAGGCCAAGCCTCCCCTCACATACCTCTCCCTCTCACATACCTCTGAGGGTTCACTGGCTTTTCGCACCCCAGCTCCTCATCACCCTCTGCCCCCTACCTCCAGGGGTCGGTCGGTCTGTCTCTCACTCCCAGTTTGTGTCCACCTTCCCTGTCTTTCCACCTGAGCTAGCCTATTTCTTCCAGGAGCATCTGTTCATCTCTTCCTGTTGTCTCTCTGTGTCCACCTGCTTCCCCTATATCTCTGCGTCCACCCATCTGCCCCTTGCATTTTTTTCTCTCCCTTCTCCAGCTCTGACCCCACCTCTATTCACTAACTCCCCTTCTGCCTACCTCTCTGGAACTATCTGTTCCCAGTGGCTCGCAGCCTACACCTCTCAGCCCACAACAGGCCCCCACCCCCACTGTCTGTGTGCAGGTTCCTCTCATGCCCATCCTTCTGCCCCTCTCTGTCCCTGTCTCTGCAGCCTCACTGCTTCCCAGCCTGTCCATCGTCCTGCTCCCTGTGTGCCTCGGCCAGGCCTGTGTCCACCAGTCCCTGCCCACCTCCCTCCATCCTTTTCTCTCTGCTGTGTCTCTGCCCCATTTCCTTTGCTGTCCCCCTGGTTCTGCTCTGGCATTCTGGTTTTCTCCACCTGGATTCCTTGGCTGGTCAGTTCCCAGTCCCTAGGTTGGCCCAATCCTCCATGTCCGCTAGGGGGCAGCAGGTCCAGGCTTTTCTGAGGGGAGGTGGACAGAGAGGATGACTGAGCTTCCAAGCTGACCTCTCGGCCTCTCTGCAGACCACCAGGTTCATGGAAAATCCAGGCCCCTAGACCTGTCTGATCCAGGAGTGCTGGTTCCTCCCTCCTCCCTCAGACCCAGGAGTCCAGGCCTCCAGCCTGCTCCTCCCTCAGACCTGGGAGTCAAGGCTCAAACCCCCAGACTCAAACCCAAGCTCCCAGCCCCCTCTTTTCCTCAGACCTTCCAAGAGTCAAGGCTCTAGCTCCCTCCTGCACATAACCCAGAGGCGGGACCTCCTACCCCTCCCACCTTCCCTCTCCACCCAGGGGTCCTGTCCTCCAGCCCCCTCCCCCCACCATCCTGGGCAGCCGGTGACCTGCTGGGGCTGAATGGAGACTTCAGGCTCTGACAGGCTCTAGGCAGCACTGTTGTCGCTGCTACCAGCCAGCTGCTGAGACCCACAAGCCCATAAGGCCAGGGACCCCCAGCCTGTGTGGACGCATGACGGGGCACACAGATGGATTCCAGGAGATACAAGTGATTTGTCACAGCACACGGGGACACACAGGGACACCAGAGCTCAGCCCCACAGACAGAGGTAGGTCCAGGAAATGCTGCACAGCTCACTGGAGGACACACTTCACAGACATCCAGTCATGCCCGGGAGCCCCAGGTTCGAGGACTTGGCCAGCCTGGTTGGTTGCTCCCAGATACACCACACATTGTGACTGGTCCAATCTTGGGCTTTGCAGTGTGGAACACACACACACACACACACACACACACACACACACACTCTCAGAGTGAGTGACCTTTAGGGGATAGCATAGGAAGCGCAAGTGGGTCTCCCCTGATTCCCCTCCCTGCACTCTCGCTGACACCCTCAGACTCTGCCCTCACCCTGGGTGCCCTCCCCCCCACCTCAGTGCCCTCTGCTGCCCCCCCATCCTCACCATCCCCTCTTGTCTCTCTCTCTCTGCCCAAGTTTCTCCAAATTTCTCTCTGACTTTCTGCGTCTCTCTCAGTTTCTGCGCCTTTGTGCCCATTTCTTTGCCCCTCTGTGGGGACGAGACACACGAAGTTCACCTCTTGGTGGGCTCAGCTTTCTGTCTCCTATCTTGTTCCCTCGTCGTGGAGTTTCTACCTCTGTGTCTCTCTGAATGTTTCTCTCCGTCTCTGCCTCTCTCTAATTCTAGCCCTTCCAGCCCAAGTTTTTCCCTGTGTGCCTCTCTCCCCGTATCTCTGCACCTCTCTGTCTCCCCATCTCCTTCCGTCCGCCCTCTCTGTCTCTCTGTCCATCCACCACTCGCTCCCGCCCTGCCCCTCCCTCCCTCCCCCTCTTTCCCTCTCTGTCTCACTCTTCGCCTCTCTCTTTTCTCTCTCAAGTGTTTTCAATTTTATTCTGAGTGGAATTAACTACCCCTGATGTCAAATTGCCGCCGAAATCGATAATAATATCTTTACAAAAGAGGATATTCTTCTCTCGGAGAACGGCCTCTGAAAAATGGAAAATTTAGTCGAAATTGATTCATTACTTGACACTTTATAGAACGGCTGCGTATTGATCGCACCTGTCATGTCCCATCTCCCCTAATCGAAGCTGAAGGCCGGCTCCGATGCCTGCTATTTTTCATAATTCCACCGCAGCCGACAGCTCCACAAACACCGCCCGCTCGCTCAGCCTCCGCCTCCCCGCGCGGGCCGCCACCGCGCCCCCGGCCTGGCCCCGGCCTCGCAGGCTGCAACTGCATGTCCGTCAGCGTCCATCTGTCCACCAGCTCCAGAAGCGCCCGCTGGCCGTCCTCCCTGCCATGTGCCTCCTTACCTCTGCTCTCTGTGCTCCCATCCCAACCCCAAACCTAAATCTCTCCGTCTGTCCTTTCCGGGGTGGGGGGACACCCGTCCCCCCATCTGTCCAGAGGTCTTCCCAAAAGCTCTCTGCTCCTCTGGTCCCTGGAAACTGCCCCCTAACTTTGTCCATCTGTCAGATTCCCCCCTCCGCCACATGCATATCCTGGGGGCTACCTGCCCAACCCCCCTTCCCTAATTTGCATCTGCCTGTGGAGCTGTCTGTCTGTCTGTCCTCCCTACAGCAGAACTCCCTCCCCCTTCATCCTGCCCCAAAAGGGGGCGCTCTCAGCCCTTTGTCTAACTTCTGGGGGGTGTGTGGGGTGTGAGATATACTGTCTTCAGCCCCAGCCCCCCCCAAACTTGACTGCCTTTGCATCCCTTCAGCTCGTCCCCAACATCCAGGGCCAATCCAGCTCCTCCTCGCTTTCCATCGCCTCCGCTCATTTGAGCTACCCCCAAGAAACTCTTCCCGCTGAACGCTTGGTCTCTCCCCTCCCCTGCAGACTCCCTGTGGCAAGCTCTGCTCTCCGGGGATACTCACTGAGGAATCAGCTACAGACTCCACCCTCAGGGACCTTTGAGTTTTGGGTATGCAGCAGGGGCTCCTGTGCCCCCTGCACCAGATGGTCAGACTGTCAAACAGGAGGGCTCTGCAGGGAGTGGGGTGTGGTCAGAACTGGGGACACAGCCCTTGTCCACAGCAAGTTCCCAATCTAGTGAGGGAGGGTCTGGGAGGGTCCCCAGCTGACTAGTACAGTCCAGTGGTTAAGAACACAGGTCCATCTTCCTGTGCTTCCAACACTGAAACAGCCAAGAGTGATTTCACCTCTGTACCTCAGTTTTCTCATCCATAAAATGGACACTTCACCTCTGCACCTCAGTTTTCTCATCCATAAAATGGGCACGCTGCTAACGACAGAGCCTACCTCAGATTTCCGTGAGAATTCAATGAGTTCGTCCTTGTGCAGTGCTTAAGCCAGTGCTAGCCACACAATAAAAGCTGCTTAGGTTTGAATTGTGTGACTATTGTAATTCTTGCACGTAGGGCACCACACATCTCACCCCAGCTCTAAAAGAGCTTTGAGATGGCGGCTGGAGGGGATCGTGGGGAGGGCAGCCAGGATTTTGGGGAGCTCTGGGGAGTAGGGGGAAGAAGACGCATTCTTGGGGTGACAGGATCTGTTTACACCCACCCTCTTTTCACTTTCTACCCAGAGGGCAGGTCCTTCCAAGGGCGTTGAAAGCAATCTCAAGGGCATACTGCAGATGCCCTGTGGGATCTGGACCTCCTGGAGGGACTCCTCATATTCCTTGGGGCTTTAAAAAGCCTCTGATGGATGTTACCGACCCCAGAGGTGTCCTCTTTCCTAGACAATAAATACAGTCTGTTGGGTTTTAGCTGGGGCGAGGGAGGAGGGAGGTGTATTCCCTCATCCCCTCTTCTTGGGGGCATTAAACACCCTGAGGGTGATCTCTCTCAGTGGGGTGTTAACTACAGTCTTATGCTATGCAGCCTCCCGGGGGGGCTGTTAACTACAGCCTAATGATCCCCCTCCTGTGAGCCGCTTCCCTCTGTTGAGCAGGTGCCGGCAACCATGCTAACGAGACAGTCTGCGGCGCCTGGTGGGCGTGACCCCTTCCTCTGGAGGCCCTGACAGCCGCCGCTCACATTGAACATTGAACACCTACTGTGTGTGTCATCTGACACGGCACACACCTTTTCTGCCTTTTCATTCATCCTCCTGAAAACCTGAGGCTCAGAGAGGGTGACTGAATTGCCCAAATGCACACAGCCCACTGCCATCGAGACCAAGAAGGGGTCGTCATTGTTCTGAACGGTCAGATGGGTGCTGTTCATACTCGCATGGGTGCATAGACAGTCCAGTGGCCACTTTCCTTGGGGCGAGGGGTGTTCCTTATACCCTTTGCCTGCATTGGAAGCTCTCAAAGGTGTGATATGCAATCTAGTGGGTGTCCCCACCTCCCTGGTGACCCATTCCTCTCTCCAGAGGCAGAGGGTTAGCGATAAAGAGCTTGGAGCACTCTGGATGGATGTTCTCTGCTGTCTTCTGTGGACGTCACTAACATTTCAAAGAGGCCCTGTTTTCTGGAAGAGCATTGTCTGTGGTGCAATAAACTGCATCTTTCCCCGAGGGTGTTCTGTCTTCCTGAAGGGGGTTCTACACAATCAATTGAAGTCTTTTTCCTCAGGAGATGTTCTTTCTTCACAGGAGTCCCCTTGGACCTTAAATGCCCATAAGTAGATGCTAGTTGGTGTTCTGGATGCCTTAATGGGAGTTTTGCTCTCTTGATGTGTGCAGGGGACCAGCAAATGAATCACAGTCACCCAGAAGGTGTCATCTCACTCCCAAAGGGTGCTGCATGCAGGCAAAAGAGTCCCACGCCACCACTGGCATAGCGTCCTCTGTGGTCCACTAGATGTCACAGAGGTGGCGTGAATCTTAAAGACTGTCTAGCCAATGTCCCTACTGTGGACAGTTCAGGGCTTTCAGAGGACTTGGACTCTGCTGTGGGATCTTAAATACCACCTGGTAACATGGTCCAGCCACCTAGTGTATGGGACTTCCTGTTGGATTCTTGACAGAATGTTCCATGCAGTTGAATGAGAGAAGGAGAAAGAGTGAGAGGAACAGAGGAGTGAAGAATAATATTGTTGTCATAGCTAAGCAGTCATGCTCATGCAAGCAAGCTTATTTGGTGCTTAGCAGGAGCTGGATATCTTTCTGCATCTTGCTATCGAACCTACCAACAACCCTAGGAGGTAATTACTGTCCCATTTTGCAGAGGTGTAAACTGAGGCCAGGAGGCAGTTCAGTGACTTACTCAGTGATGAGTGGTAAGGATGGAGTTGAGGGCTGTTCTCAGGGCTGAAGTTCTCCGCCCCTGGGGGTCTGCGGGGTTGGGGTTGGTGGGGTCCCACAGAGCTGCTCAGGCACAGCGTGTCCCCCTGGGGGTTGTCCTCTTGCCCTGAAGCATACCTTCCCCTTCTCAGGCAGAAGACCACAGGCACTGACCTCCAGAAGCTGCCTTTTCCCCAGAAGGTGGCCCTGGGGTAGGAGGTGGAGCTGGCCCTGGGAAGAGGAGAGGAAAGTAGGGGAGGGAGTGGAGTGGGGAGACGGAAAGGAAGAGGAGAGACAGAAGGGTGAAGGGCAAGGGGCAAGGCAGGAAAGAGTAGAGGTAAGAGGCAGGGTCAGCCTGGCCAGGGGCCTGGGAGAGGGCCTGAAGCTCCCAGCACCCCCAGATTGGCTGATCTTTACTCGGTATTTCAAGAAGCAGAACTGGCTCTCCCAACCCCTGCCCCCCTGCAGGAGTCCACATGTGCAGCTGTGTCTACCTGGGCATGGGAAAGACGCTGTCAGTCTGTCCACCCTGGGCTCTGTCCTGTCCACATGCCTGGGTGTATGTGTGTGGTGTGTGATCTAAGGGTTTTGTGCGCATGTAGTGTACCAGGGAGTGGAGGGTAGCTTTATGTCAGCGTGTGGACCTGCGAGTCCATGGCCTGTGGCTCAGGGATGTCTGTGAGTCACAGTGGGCCTGTGTGGGAGGGCTGGGTGTCTCGTCTGGGCACAGGCCTCTGTGAGTCTGTGCATAGACTATGTATGTGTTCACTGGTCTGTGTACTTCCACTCTGTGTATTACAGGACTCTCGTGTGCGTGTTGCGTGTGTGTGTGTGTGTGTGTGTGTGTGTGTGTGTGTCCTGTTTGACCCTGCTTACCTGCTCCGTGTTACTGACTCGATGTGGGCAGGCTGTGTGTCCCCATGTCTGTCCTGGCTGTGTGTCTGTGTTTCGTGCCCCTGTCCCCGCCAGGTCTGGTGTGTATAACCAGGGTCCTTCACCACTATGTAACCTCTACCTCCACCTCGCACCTGTCCATCCGTCTGTCCGTCGGTTTGTCTCTTTGTCTCGCCTCCTCTTGGGCGGGGAGGTGAGGAGGGAAGGGAGTGTAGGGGGGACGGAGGGGGGCTCCCCACCTCTCCACCCAGTCCTGCCCCCCACCCCTACTTCTTCAGTCCCAGGATCGAACCTTATTTAGAGTCGCGATTCGACATCTGTTTTCAAATTTGATCAGCTCTGAACTTTATTTTCCGAGTTTGAGGAAAATTATATTCCATCGATCGCGCCGCCCGCCCCCTCCCCCGCGCCGCCCGCCGCCGCCGCCGCGTCCATATATCTGCGCGCGGAGCCGGGCCGGGGCGTGAGGGCGGAGGCGCGCGGGGAGGCGCGGGGAGGAGGAGGAGGAGGAGGAAGAGGAGGAGGAGGAGGAGGCAGGGCCGCCCCAGACCCGCGCCCCCGCCCGGGCCGGTCGCCCCGCATCCCGCTCCTGCGCGCCAGCCTCTGGCCCCCTCCGCCCGCGCCTCCGTCTCTCTCTGCGCCCCGCTCTTTCGGGGTGTCTCTCTCCGTCTTGCGCTGTCTCTGTCCCTGCGTCCCTCTGGGTCGCGGACTCGCCGCTCGCTGCGCGCGTCTTCTCGCTGGTCCCTGCATCCCCCCAACCCCGGGGCTCTGGGCACCACCCGCCCGACGCCAGTGCCCCCTCCCCAGGCCGCCGCGGGGGGGCCATGCCTGCGGGACCCGAACTTTGAACACTTCTTCCCAACCCGGAGCAGAGACGCCCCGCCCGGAAAGTGAGTGAGCACCGCGGGCCAAGCGGGGAGGGGGTGGCGTCTGGGGGCCCTGGGAGGCTGTTGGCAAAGGGCTGGAGAGCTCGAGGCAGACGGGGTCACCGCGGGCGGTGGGGGGGGGGGCGCGGCGGGAGCCCAACTCTGGAGAGGTGGGAGTTGGGAGGGGGTCGAAGGCTCTGCAGAGGGTCGGGGTTTGAGGTGTGAGGGACCCGGGCGGTGGGGCAAGGGGTCTAACTGAGAGTGGGGGCTGGCCTAGGGGGTGTGGATTTGGATATTGTGGTCTGAGGGCTCAGAGCCCAAGACTGGCTGGATGGTTCGAACATGTAGTATGGCTACTGGGGTTAAGGGTCAGAACTGAGGAGGTGGCACTGCGGCCTGGGGGTGGGATTTGGGTGGGAGGGGGGCATTCGGAGCTGGAGTTAAAGGGTCTGCACATTTGGATCGGGATCTTTGGGGTCTGGGAATGCGGAACAGGGGTCCTGGGAGCTGAGAAAAGGGCTTTGGGGCCAAGTGTGGGGTCTACGCACAGAGGGGCAGGCGGAGAGCAGAGGTCTGGCCCTGACCTTCATCAGCTGTGTCCCCTTGGGGACAGGCAGCCTAGTGCCAGGCGTTGACCGATTCTGCTCGCGTCTGTCCCGGTGCTGGGCGGCCTGGGCCACCTCCGCCGCTGGGTCTCCTCTTGGTGCCTCTCAGCTTTCCCTGCTGCTCCATCTCTCATTCCTCTCTGTGTCTTTAGAAGCCGCTCTCTCTACCTCTGGGGTCCCTTTCTCTCTCAGCATCTCTGTCTCCTCCGTCTCTGCCTCTCTCTCGTCTCTCACTGTCTCTCCATCTCTGTCTCTCCCCACATCTCTGTCTCTGGCTCCCCCTCGCTGGTTTCCGCTCAGATTAAGCCGGGGACCTAATTCCAGGCCCAGGATCGAATTTTCTGGCAACAAAGGGAAATAGCGAATCGATCGGTCGCTCCGGAGATTAAGAGACAAGCGGCGCGCGGATCTATCACGGCTAAACGGGGCCCCCCCTCGCCCCGCCCGCTCCCCCCGCCCGGCCGGCCCGCCGAGGCCCAGACGCGCTGCGCATCGCCAAGCAGCCTCCGAGCCCGCGGACAGGCCTGGCCTGGAGCGAGCGGCCAGGGGGACGCGGCCAGAGCCCGGTGGGGGGCTCAGAGCTGGGCCGGCCCCAGGGAGGGGAGAGGAGGGAAGAGAGAGAGCAAGCCGGCAAGGCTCCCTTTGGGACTGCTCTGCACACACCTGTGGCCTCAGGTAACACCTTTTCACCCGCACCTGCCTGTCAACATACCTGTCACGTCTTCACATCTGGATCTCCAGGTAACATTCCTTCTTATGTTCATCCCCGGCAGGTTTCCATCCACCTACCCTCCATACCTGCTCTCTTCATCTGCCCCTACAGGTAACATCTGTTTCCTCTCACCTGCCTCTCCAGGTAACATACCTGGCCCCTGACACCTGCCCACAGAGATGTCCCTGATCTCGCAGGTAACATTCCCCCTTCGCCTGTTCCTCCAGATACATCAAGTCTGCCCCGCATACCTGCATCCCTAAGTGTGTCCTCTCTCATACCACCTTGTTCTCTTTCTGCACCTGGACCGTTTCTCCTGTCGCTCAAACTTTAAATGCACTGTCACATCTTCACATTTCTCTGTCCACCTTCATTGCACTCTCACTCGCAAGCCTCCCCCTTGCCCATATTCCCTTGCACGTGCATTCTTCTTACCTGCCCCATCCGCTGAGGTAACTCCTGCTCTCTCCTCAGGGTTCTTGACCACACTTCTCCTAAAATGTGACAATTTCCTTGCCCACTGCACACCTCTCCTCTGTCCAGATGTTCCTCCTGAAACACACGTGCCTCTCACATCCCTCCCGCCCCCTGACTCCCCTACACCCTGGTCTTCCAGCATTTGGCATAAGGACAACTGCTTCCACCATGTTCTCCCACACCTGTCTCCCCTGTAGGCACTTCAGGTAATGCACTACCTGTAGACACATCAGTCACCCCTGCATCCTCACCCCAAATGCCATCTGATCTCTCATCATATGTTGGGCCCCCTTCACCAACCACAATGCCTTCCTGCATGCCCTTGTCCTCTCAAAGAAACACCTGCCCACCTCCATACCTTCTGCTCACCTGGGTCAGTTTCTTGCTCTGTGTCTCTCACAATACACACCACTTCACACACATTTGGATGGGAAATCTGTCCTTGGCCACAGGTATCTTGCCTCACTTGCCCACATGCCTCCACCTGTCTTTCCCATACCTGTCACTCAGGTAACAAATCGCCACTGTTTTCTGACTCTCTCTTTCTTTCCACATCCCAAAGATGACACCAAATCCCATCATCCCACAAGTCTGTCTGCTCCTTACTGTCCTCCTGAGGTCACCTGTATACTGCACTTACCATCCTCAGCACACAGGTACAGAGAGCTCCATGTGACCCACACACACACACACCCTGTCTCCATCTCTCTTTGCTTCACATCTCTCCAGAGGGTTCTCTACCTCACTCCTGCCTCCCTGATCTGTCCCCTAAAGGGAACACCTCCTCCTGCATAAACCTGCCTCACCGACATGCACCTGGCTTTCAACACTTCTCCCTTCCCCTCTGCATCCAAATGTCCATGTTTTCCTGGCTCCACACCTTCTGCAGACATCTGTTCACCTCCCTGCCACCTCTTAGTAAGGCTGATCTCTACCTCACACAAGAGGCACGCCTGTAGGAACACACCTTTGGAGCCTTCACACCTGTCTCCAGCCCTTCTGCCTCTGGAAACACCTGTCCCTTTTCATAGATGTGTCTCCAGCCACCTTTATGCCCAGGGCATGCCTTTCTTGGTGGGCACAACACCTGGAGCATTTGTGAAGCTCACATGAATACCTGTTTCCAGCCATCTATATGCCTGCCGCCTGCTGGCACGTAACCCCTGAAGTCAGAGGGTTTTAGACATCAGCACACATAATAAGAAACACCTGGACGATTTGTTGAAACAGATTTCTGGGCTCTGACTCGGGGTAACGTTCAGCCTGAGGTGGAAGCCGGGACTCCATGTTTCTGTGCTGTTCTAATACACTGCGCTCTGGGAGCACTCGGGCATGGTGTGGTCCACGGGCTGGCAGAAGGCGAGTATGGCTTAGAAAGAGGTTTCCAAAGGTTTCCCATAGTCCGTGCATGTTCCCCCATCTTCTGGACCCTATAATACTTTCCACTGAAAAGACAGTCATGGTGACAGTGATGATGACAGCATACAGCACTGTCCTGAGCTCCCACACCCACTGTTTCATTTAGAGACCCTTATGGGGCACATACATTCATCCCCATTTTACAGAGTGGCAACTGAGGCCAGAGAGGTAGAGGGAACCTTGAGTTTCCAGATACTGGCAGGTACCAGGGTGGGATCAAGTTCAGGTGATTTCAGAGCTGCCTGCCTAGTGACCCAGGTTTCTTTGCCTCCGACATATGCCCCTCAGGTGAGCCCCCTCCTCCTCAGATACAGCCTCCACGGTGGCCTCTGGGAGCAACACCCAGCCTCACCATGAAACGCAGGTTCGAGACTCCTGGAATGCTTGTTAAATTCTGCCTCCTGGGCCCTAGCTGGGCTATTTTTAAACCCAGCATTCACAACAATACTAAGCAGGAGACTTTCCTGTTGACTGGCCTTTGGCCTTGTCCCGTCCTCCTAGATGACACTTGCCTCCTCCCGCCCCAGCCCACCTGCCTACCTGCCCAGCCCATGACATAGCCCAGCATCCCTGCTCACACACTTGTCTCATGCTGACGCTGACTCTCAGGGCAAACCTGCCATCCTGTGTCCTCACCATCACCTGCGTCCATGCCACCTGGAACCTGTCGCTCCCAAAACAGCCAGCTCTCAGATACCCCTGAACTACCCTTCTCTACGTGCTCGTATTTCGCCCCAGCCGCTCTTATTTTCCTTTCTCTTTCTCCATCTTTGCCTCCATCTTTCCTCTGCCTGTCTTTGAGTCTGTCTTCCCCACCCCCCCATCTTCATCTTTCTTGGTAATTATTTCTCTAACCTACCTCTCTCCCTTCTCTCCTTTGTCTCTTATCTCCCTCTCTACCTCTTTTTCCTTAGTTCTCTTCCTCTCTCTTTCTCCATCTGTCTTTCTGTCTCCATCTTTCTGTATCTCACTGTATCTCTCTCTGTCTCTGTGTCCTACAATCTCTGCCTCTATTTGTCTCTTCTCCCCTTTTCTGTCTCTATCCTTTGCTCTTTCTTCACAGTGCAGCTGTTAGGGGCCTCAAACTCCTTCACTTAAGATCCCCTTACACCCAGAAGCCATCTCTTGTTTCTGCTGACTTTAGCTAAGTTACTTTCCCTCTCTGGTGCTCCATCTCCCCATCTGTGAAATGGGTGTCCTGACAGTTGCTTTCCCGCAGACTGTGGGGAGAACGTGCTGGGGGCAGTGAGAGGACCTGGGCGGATAGGGACTGAGCCGCTGTGTGTGGGTCTCCCCTGTTCCCACTGGCGGCTTTCCCACCAGCTGTCAGTGTGCGCGTGTGTGGTGGGGGGAACTGAAGAGAAGTGGGCAGAAGCCTTCCGGCCGAGGCCTCGACACAGGACCCGGTGTGGGGATGGGGACAGGGATCGATCCAGCTCGGCGGCAGTACGCAGGCCAGGATTGCATCTTGTCACAATAATTTATTGCTCTCATCCCGTCTGATCGATGACGCTGAATTAGCACCGTGCCTGATGCCCCTGGAGCCCCGAGCCTCCCTCAGCCTGGCCGGACCCTGGCCCTTCACCGACCCTTATGGGATCCACGCCAGGCCGGGCGCTAGATCTCAGCAGCCCTGGGCCCAGGCTTTGCCCCAGCCTGCCCTCTCCTGTTCTTGTACCTGTGTGTATCTCTCTCAGTCTCCTGACCTTCTGCCCCTCTTTTTACCCTCTTGACCCCATTTCTCAGCACCTCCAAACTCCACCTCTGCTCCTCATTTCCTCTGATCTCAGCCACCGCACGCCCCCCCCCCCAATTTTGTCCCTGTTATTTCCTTGTCTTGTTCCTGGTTTGTCTCTCTTCCTGTGTCCCCCCTTCACCTGTCCCTCCACTTTTCTGCACATGCTTATCTCCCACCCCTCTGGCCCTGCCCCGATTTCTCTGGCCACTTGTCTCCACTTCGCTGTCCCTCTCCCATTTCTCTGTCCCTAGATCTCTGGCTCTCTGTCCTGTGGACTTGCCACCTGTCTTGCTGTCCTTCAGTTCAATTAGAATCCCCCTTAAATAATATTTTCTAAGCATATACTTGGCAGGGAATGCCAAGAGCAGGCCTCAGGGGCCCCTGACCTTGAACTTTATGGTCTAGAGGAGTTGTCTGAGTCACCACTTCCTGAGGTCAAGTAACTGGCTGTCCTTCGGCCTCTGTTCATCCTTTCCCTCATCCATCTCAGCACCCTTCTCCACCCTGCCAGTTGGGTAGAAGGGCAGGATTTGGAGTGAAGATGGGAGGAGTGTGGGCTTGCGCTTGAGGTTGGGGCCTAGGGGGCTCCAGGCTGGGGCTGGGGCTGAGATATGGATGGAGTGACGTTGAACTTGGGGGTGGAATCAGGAGGGAAGTGGAGCTGGGGATTGAACTATGCAGGAACCAGGCTGAGCTTGCTGATGGGGCTGGATCCAGGAAGGATGTGCAGTTGGGAAGATGGTGGGGTTCAGGACGTGGCAGGAGTTGGGAACAGGGTTGGGGATGGAGGTGTTTAGTTGAGGTGGGGGTGAAATCAGCAAGAGTTAGAGGAGGGCTGAGGTGGGCTTTGGAGTCCAGATGAGCCTTCGGAGGCCAGTCAGTCCCCCAGAGGACAGTGACCCCCTGGGATTGAAGAAGAGTAGAGGCGGCTATCCCAGGGAGGGCGAATCAACACCCTGGAGCTGCCCACTCGGCCCAGACCTGGCAGCTTCCCTTCTCGGTTCTTCCTCCGTCAGTCCCCTCTTGCTTCTACCTTAATCCCTCAATTTTCCGCCTCTCTGCCCCCTCCTCTCCTTCCTCCCTGACCCGGGGTCTCCTTTGCAGCACCACCCTGCTCTCCTCCAACCCTCTCTCCCATGACCTCAGTGTCTCTAATTTACTGCCTCTGCCCATCACTTGCCTTCCCAGGTCCCTAACTCGCATCTCTCCCTCTCTTGTGGGCCACTGCCTCTCTGGGTCCCTGGGCTGCTTGCTCCAGGTCTCTCTTTGTTTCTAGGAGATGCTCACTCATTTCACTCGCTGTGTCTTTAGCTCTGCGTGTTTCTGCTCCTCTGTCCCTGTGGGTCTCTCTCCATCTCTGGCTCTATCTCTGCATCTCTCACTATCTCTGTCCCTCTTCTTCCCTCCATATCTGTCTCTGTCTCTCTCCTTTCTCTTTCCTTCTTTGTCTCTGCATACCTCTCCACCTCTGTCTCTGTCTCTCTGTCTCCATCTCTGTCTTTGTGTCTCTCTTTGTCTCTCTTAGTCTCTGTCTCTCCACCTCTATGTGTCTCTCCGCAGCTTTCTCCATCTGTCTCTCTGTCTCTCCATCTCTGTCTCACCATCTCTTTCCATCTCTGTCTCCATCTCTGTCTTTGTGTCTCTCTGTCTCTCTTAGTCTCTGTCACTCCATCTCTACGTGTCTCTCTGCAGCTTTCTCCATCTGTCTCTCCACCTCTCTCTCCATCTCTGTCTCTCCATCTCTGTCTCTCCATTGCTATCTCTCCATTTCTGTCTCTCTCTCTCTGTCTCCATCTCTGTCTCTCCATCGCTATCTCTCCATCGCTATCTCTCCATTTCTGTCTCTCTCTCTCTGTCTCCATCTCTGTCTCGCCATCTCTGTCTCTCCATCTCTGTCTCCATCTCTATCTCTCCATCTCTGTCTCTCCATCTCTATCTCTCCATCTCTGTCTCCATCGCTATCTCTCCATCTCTGTCTCTCCATCTCTGTCTCTCCATCTCTGTCTCTCTCTCTGTCTCCATCTTGTCTCTCCATCTCTGTCTCTTCATCTCTGTCTCTCTCTCTCTGTCTCCATCTCTGTCTCTCCATCTGTGTCTCTCCATCTCTGTCTCTCTCTCTCTGTCTCCATCTGTGTCTCTCCATCTCTGTCTCTCTCTCTCTGTCTCCATCTGTGTCTCTCCATCTGTGTCTCTCCATCTCTGTCTCTCTCTCTGTCTCCATCTCTGTCTCTCCATCTCTGTCTCTCCATCTCTATCTCTCCATCTCTGTCTCTCCATCTCTGTCTCTCCATCTCTGTCTCTCCATCTCTGTCTCTCCAGCTCTGTCTCGCCATCTCTGTCTCTCCATCTCTGTCTCTCTCTCTGTCTCCATCTCTGTCTCTCCATCTCTATCTCTCCATCTCTGTCTCTCCAGCTCTGTCTCGCCATCTCTGTCTCGCCATCTCTGTCTCTCCATCTCTGTCTCTCCATCTCTGTCTCTCTCTCTGTCTCCATCTCTATCTCCATCTCTGTCTCTCCATCTCTGTCTCGCCATCTCTGTCTCTGCCTCTCTCGCCACCTCTGTCTCTGCGTGTCTCTCTGTCTTGTCTCTGCTCATCTCCATCTATCTCTGCATGCTAATCTGTCTTCTCTCTGGTAGCTGTCCCACTCTGCCCCCTCTCTGTCTCACTCTTTTCTCTCTGTGCCTCTCTCTGTCTCTTCTTCTCCATATGTCTCTCCTTCCCTGGGTATCTCTGTGATCCCCCTCTCTGTCTCTCTGGTTTCCGTGGAGAGGGGCAGGGCTGAGGGCCCACGTCCGCAGGTTGTCTCCCGCCCTGCTCCTCCCCTCCCCCAGTGCTGTTTGGTAGGCGGGGTGCGTGGCACTGCAGCTCCCACCTCCCTGGGGACGCTCCCTCACCACCCCCCAGCTGACACCATTCCGCAGGCGGGCCACAGCCCCAGGGACTTAGACAGGGACTTGGAGGGCAAGACAGAGACCCAGAGAGACACACATCTCCAGAAGAGACACCCATCCAGGAGAGACTGAGAGAGGGTGAGGGTGGGGGCATCATCTCTGTCCTCCGCTGGGCCTCTCCGTCCCTGGTCTGCTCCCCTTACACCCCAACCACTCAAATCTGGTGTCACAGACCCCCTTTTACAGTCCAGGAAACCAGTGCTCCCTCTGTCTGTTAGTCTGCCCCTCTGTCTCTGTCTGCAGCTTCTGCAGAGGGTGTGTGTGTGTACGCATCTACTCTAGTCACAGTGCATGTGTATTATAGCAGTGGCATGCATAGTTACTCTGTGTCTGTGTACTGTAAAGGTATGTGCATTTTAGTGACTCTGTGAGTGTGTGTGCATGTGTGCTGTGATGATGTGTTCATTATAGTGACTGTGGGTGTGTGTACTGTGATGACATGGAGACATACATGATTGGTTGTGACATATGTGTGTGGTTTGTGGTGCTGTGTATGTGTCTAGCTGTGGCATTGTATGTGTGTGTATGTTCAGAGTGCATGCAGGTGACTTAGATGGCTGTATACATAACATACTGTGTGCATGTGCATACTCTCCTGGGCTGGAAGATGATGAGGCCAAGTAAAACCACACATCTCATATTTAGGGCCATGTCCGTATGTCCTGTGTGTGACACTGGGCTGTAGGACTCTGGAGTTGTGATGTGACAGTGTTTCATGGAGTGTGGCCCCATAAGGTGTGTCTGTGTTTCACACAGAATGATTCTGGGCTGCACGTGTGTATGTGTGTGTAGTGATGGTGTGTGTGTGTTACAGTGTCGGTGATGTACATCACTATGGCGTCATATGAAAGCTTCATCTAGGAGGTGGAGGTGGGAGGCAGTGTGCGCCCCACAGGAGCCCTGGAGCCTGTGTGGTAGGAGTGTGGTGTGAGGATGTGGCTCTGCCTCCCTGCTGTGTGTCACAGGCGGTGGAGAGTGGGTGGCCGTGTGTTTGTGTTGAGGTGCGGCTGTGTGTCTCTGAGTCCCTGGGTTCTGTCTGAGTCCAGGTCCCCATCTGGGTGGTGTGTTGTGTGTGTGCTGGGGTGAAGCATGTGCTCATGCGTGTGTGTGACCCAGACAGCAGACACACACAAGAACACACACACGAGGGTGAGCTCTGGTGGCCTAGTGGCAAGAAGCTGCACTGCAATCCCAGAGGTGAACGCTCTGAATCCATCAGATGCTCTGCTCCTCCTGTACCAGTCAGATGCAATTTGATGGTACACACACAAAAAATAATAAAAATAAAAACTTTAAAAAAAAGAATTCACACACTTCCCCAGCACATGTTGGATTGGCTCTGGGATCTAGTTCTGCAACAGGGACCGTGGATCTCTGTGGGTGCCAGTGTGCATACATGTGTGTTTGCATGGGACCTGAATGTAACAGTCTAGGTAAGGGATGCTGGTTCATAACAATTACATGAACTAAGTTGTGTGTTGGTGTGTGTGGGGTTGCACAGGTATGTATGACTGTTGGGTGGTGTGTGAGTATATACCTTGTGTGAATGGCTGCCTCCTTGAATGGCTGTCCTTCTGCCTGTGAAGGGCTGGGGTTGTGAGCGTGTTGGTGTCTGATGCCACTGTGCGTCCTTCTGGCTGTATTCTCTGGGATTGTGCATGTGTGTTTTGTGTGCCCATCATGTAGTGACTGTGGGCATTGAGAGTAGTAAGGGTGTGTGTGTGTGTGTGTGTGTGTGTGTGTGCCCATGTGCACACATCCCAGGCACCAGAGACGCCTCACCCAGGGTGGGCAGGGATAGGAGTGGGGGTATCCATGTTTAAGCAGGAAAGCCCTCTTCTCTTTCCTGACCCCCCTCTGCCCAGGACATCCAGGACGTCCTTAGAGCCATGGTGGATGGGTCTTGGGGCCTGAGTTGTGTCCCCATGGACATGGCCATAATCTGTATTCACAGGGGTGTGTGGGCATGTGGGCAGATAGCGTGTGACAAGGCGGGACGGAGCAGGGGACTCATCTGTGAAGAGTCAGATGAGCAGAGGCTGGCAGCATGCCTACAGGCTGGGGGTGTGAAATGTGGGCTGTGCCCACTGGTGAGTGTCAAGAGGAGAGAGAGAGAGAGAGAGTAAGTGTGTGTTGGCAGCTGTTGTCCACGGTGGACACAGTCATGTCCTCCACGGGTGTGTCCCAGATGGCGCCTGGGCATGTGGACATGGAGGCTGCAAATGGAGTGTCAGGCTATATGTGTGTGTGTGTCCCTAGTGTGAGGCGTGTGTGTGTGTGTGTGTGTGTGTGTGTGTGTGTCTGTGGGGGCGGCACAGGAGAAGGGTCTCGGGCAGCGTCTCTCTCCTCTTTAGACAGAGCCCCGGAGAAGATATGAAATTTAAAAAAAAAATCAATTTTCATTCCACTTGTGCAGATTGTGTTAGGGGAGGTGGGGGTGGGGGGCCGGGTGAGGGATGAAGGGGCTGGGGGGGTTGTGTGGCCCGAGGCGGCTCCTGAGGCGGCCTGCACAGCTTAGAGAAATCAAAACAACTGGTTAAACCCCAGCCACCTGATGGGGGGTGAGGAGATGGAGGCCTAGGGAGAAGGGAGTCATGGCCAGAGACAGAAACAGAGAGAGACAGAAATGGAGGAGAGACAGAGACACACAGGGTCAGACATGAAGACAGAAATGCCCAGAGATGGAGGGAGACAAATATGGAGATGTAAAGAGATGGAAGAGACATGAAGAGACAGAGATGCCCGGAGACAGAGGACCAGAGAGCTAGAGTGGGAGAGGCTCAGTGAGGGGCAGACATGGGTGGGGTGGAGGCTCTGAGAGAGACAGAGAGACCAAGAGAGGAGGCTGAGGGAGGTCTGAGCACCACACACACACACACACACACACACACACACCAGAAGGAGACAGCCAGATGACTGGGGAACCTGGGGTGGGGGTGCCGTTGAGGGTCCCCTCCAGCTGCCTCATCTGCCCTGGGTTGCGGGGTGCTGAATGGGCTCTGTGTGGGTGGACCCGGTTGGCTGACCTTCCTGCCTCGGCATGTGGTTGTGGTTGTGTGTGTGAGTGACAGTGGGCATGAAGCCCCGCGTCCTCGCTGGCTGGCTTGGTCGGCACTGTTGGCACCACCGTGAGCCTCCGAGGCCACGTGTGGCTGAGTCCACGTGCACCCGAGTGTCTCAGGGCTGGACTGGTGTGTGGGACTCTGCACATTATGGGGTCCCGTGTGAGTGTGAGTGTGGCTGTGTTGGGGGTGCCTGGGTGTGTCTCAGCTTCTGTGTGTCATTGTGTGCTTGTAGGTCTGTGTTTCTGTATTTGATTGTGAGTGTGGGTGTGTGGTTGTCAACACTGGTGTGCGTCTGTGTGCACTGTGATTGTGTAGATATACAATTGTGTGCACACAGTTTCACCTGGTGTCTGTTTCTGGGTAGGTGTTTGTGACAGTGTGTGTGTGTGTGTGTGTGTGTGTGTGTGTGTGTGCGCGCATTGTGATTGTGTGTGTATTCCTGTGTGGGATTGAATCTGTGTCTGTGCACAGTTTTGTTTGGTATGTTTCTGTCTGTGATGATGCTGATGTCCGTGTGTGTGTGGGGGGGTGTGTGTAGTAGGGTGTGTGGTGGCATTTGGGTGTGTGTCTGTGCACAATTTCATCTAGTGGCTGTTTCTGGGTAGATGTCTGTGTCTGTGCTGATGTGAATGTGTTTGGGGGGTGTGTTTAGTTGTGTGGGTGTGTGGGTGTGCGCGCGCAGGAAGATGTGTGTAGCGGCTAGTGGGTGTGTGTCTGCTAGCACATGTGTATCGGTGATGTGTGCTGTGTGTGTCATGGCGGCACGTGGGCCCCTTAGGTGTGTGTTGTGTGTGTTGTACGTGCCATGGAGGCACGTGGGCCCCTTAGGTGTGTGCTGTGTGTGTCATGGCGGCACGTGGGCCCCTTAGGTGTGTGTTGTGTGTGTTGTGCTTGTTGTATGTGCCATGGCGGCACGTGGGCCCCTTCGGTGGGTGTGTGTTGTGTGTGACCGTGGTGTTGCCTGTTCCTGGGCTGCGGTGAGGCCTGCTCAGAAGGCGAGGCGAGGAGGGGGCTCTCCCCGCCTGCCCAGCCCCTGCCCACACGGCTGCTGGCGCGAGCACACACACACACACACACACACACACACACACACACACACACTCGGTTCGGTGCCATGGCTGCGGGCAGTGGAGATGGGGGGCAGGGGGGGTGGAGGAAGCAAAATAAAATTAAAAATTAAAGCTTGCCCGGAGTCCCCATCCGCAGCGCGCCGGCCGGCAGGGAGGGGCGGGGCGCTGCAGCTCCCCCTCCACAGCCGCTGGGGCTCAGGCGCGTGTCCATCTGTCCGGCAGTCCTACGGGGCCCTGTCCAGCCCTCCAGCCCTGGGCCCCGCAGGCGCCCGCTTCCTCCATCGGTCGATCAGCGATCAATGGGGGCCAGGGGGGAGCCAGGGGCAGGACGAGATCAAAGGGGCCCCGGGAGACGGACAGTGGGACGGAAACAGACGTGAAGACAGAGACTCAGAGATGTAGAGACCGACACAGGGAGACCTCGGGACGGGGCGCTGGGGACCAGCAGGTGTGGAGACGAGGAAACAGAGGCACGGAGGGGCAGAGACGTGGGGACCCAGAGACGCGGGAACCCAGAGACGCGCGGCCTCGGAGACGTGGGGACGGGGCGCAGAGACGCGGTGGCCGCGGCTCGGCTCGACAGGCGGGTGGGGGGTGGGCGCAGCACCGAGGGCGAGATCCTGGGTCTCCGGGCGTCGTAGGGGCCGGGGCCTGAGCAGGGGAGGGGACAGACCCGGGCCGCGGTGGCGGAGCCCGCGAGGAGGGAGCGCCGCGCGCGGGAGACGGGGGGAGCGTGGGAGCAGGGCCCGGAGCGTCGATCCCACGGCTCCTCGTTATAACGTGTCCGGAGGAGGCGGCGGGGAGTTGAAAGCGTCGGGAAGAGAAATCAAAACCAACACGGAAATGAGAGGGGCCAATGGGGGGTGGGGGCGGGGTGGGGGGAGGTAGGAGGGGGGACCCGGGGAGGCAGAGAGCGAAGGGAGGTGGGAGAGCGGAGGATGGGGGAGAGGGGGCGATGGTGAGCGAGGTGGGGAGAGGGGAGCGAGGTGCAGAGATGGAGGGAGGGAGAGAAATGAAAGAAAGGACGGGGAGCTGGAGAAAGACCCAAGTCTGGGGTGCCAGGCGAGGGGGGCACTGGAGGCAGAGAGGAGTTGGAGAGATGGGGAAAGGTGCAGGTGACGGGGCAAGAGAGGCCCGAGGAGAGAGGAAGGAGCAGGCTGGAGAACTAGGAAGAGCCTGGGGTGGAGGGGAGAGACCACATGAGGGGAGAGGGGGGCAGGAGCACAGGTGGGGTGTCGGAGACAGAGAAATGGAAGCGAGGAGGTGGGAGGAGTGGGGGGGGACAGAGACTGAGACCTGGGTGCTGGAGAGGGAGAGGCGGGGAGAGGAGGCCTGAGGATGGCGAGGATGGAGGATGGCGTGAGAGGACCGAGAGATCCAGGGGTGTGCCTCAGGTCTGGTGGCACCTGGGAGGGCTAGGAGGGGTGCTGGCCACCAGCAGGGTCCTGAGTGCCGGAGGGAGCAAGTGGGAGAGACTGTTGTGTGACCCAACCCTGTGAGGGCAGGGGTGAGGGGCTCGAAGTGCCTGTGGCTGTTATGGGGTGCTGGGGTATCTGTGGGAGACTGGATAAATCTGAGGGGTAGTTGGAGGTATCTAAAAAGTCTTATCTAGTGTCCAAAAGAAGAGATGAGATGGAAGGAGAGATGAAGTGTTTGCGAGGCTTTTGGGACCTGAGTGGGACTGGGAGGAATCCCTTGTTTAAGAATGTCTGTGAGGGTGGCGTTTGAGGGCGGGGAGTCTGAGGAAGTGCTGCTCTGAGAGGAGGGGTCTGAAGGGGTGGGGTAGCGAGGATTGAGGCATGTAAAAGGGTGCTCTCTGAGCAGGAGGTAGCGTCTGAGTTTGAGTCTAAGGCAGGGTGTCTGAGGGGTGGAGTGTTTGTGGTGGGTGTCTCAGGGGGGTAGATGTCTGAGGCTGGGAGGTCTGAGGGGGCATCTTGATGGTGGGGCTGCTGAAGGGGAGGGGAAAGTGTCTGTGAGAAAAGGGTATGAGGATTTTAGGGGACATGGGTGATCTAAGGAGAGAGGGGGTGCAAAGAGGAGGAGTCAGAGAGGGAGGGGCTGTCCGAGGAGGGAGGCATATCCAGAGGAGGGGGCCTCCGAGGGGTCTGTGTGAAGGAGGAGGCTGCAGGATCTGAGGGGAGGGGTTCGAGGGCAGACCCGGATTTTCCAGGAGAGGGGTGTACTGTGGAATTAAGCATGGAAGGTGCTGCTGGGTGGGGCGAGGGGCGAGGGGGGTGGTGTGAGCTGTTTTCTCTCAGCCCCTCAGAGTAACTGGTTGGCCACCGGATGAGGGGTGCACAGGGCTGGCGGGGTTCGGCTAGGCCGAGTGGAGGTGGGGGCATATTTCACAGAGAGAGGAATCCAGGAGGGCCAGAGAGAGAGACAGCAGGAGACACAGAGACGGATGCCAGAGGTCAGGTGGACACGGGGATGGGGGCCGAGGAACAGGAGAGAGCAGAGAGCGAGTTTGGGGGGGACAGGGACTGGGACAGAGCCAGTGGGGGGGACAGGACGAGAGCGGGAGTTGGGGGTAAGGAAGAGGAAGAGCAAGCAGGAATCTGGGAGTGACCACAGGCAGTGAGGAGAGCTCTCAGGGACCGGCCAGAGGGGACCTGGGCTGAGGGGTGCCTGTTGGGGGGGGGAGCGTACGGTAGAGGGCAGTGGTAGCGGAGGTCGGGGCTGGGCTGGCCAGGGCAGGAGGCACCCAGTTGACCCCATCTCTCTCTCCTTCCTGCCTGTCCCGTCCTGTGTCCTGTGTCCGTGCGTCCATCCTGGCCTCTCTGCCTCTGCAGGGCCAGCTCCGTCATGGATTGTAGCTGTGTCTCCGACCTTCTCTTCGCCCCGCCAGCCCTGCCGGCTCTCTGGACCCCTGGTAACTGGCCCGAATCCCCCAGCCCTTCTCCCAGCCCTCATAGAGACGCTTTCCCTCCATGCCTCTTAAGTCTCCATCAGGCTCTCCTGGATAAAGCCCTTTAATTAAAAACTTAGCTAAAAACTTCCCAGCCACTGGCCTGCAGGGGGGTGAGGGTCATTTGGAGGGTCGGTCAGAGAGGAGATGAGGTCCAGGGGTCTCGTCCATTATCCATTTCAGTCCTGCTCCCACCTGAGATCTGTGGGTACGGAGCTGCAGGGGGGCTGGACACGGACATGGACAGAAACAACTAGCCAGGCAGACAAACAGGACAACTGTCTGGGCAGGGGTACGTGGGGACATCCCCACATTGGGGGAATGAGGAGAGAGACAGCCCAGTTGGAAGGGAACAGAGAGACTGGGGATGTGAAGGGTAAGACAGGCTTGGGTGTCTGAGCCCACACCCTGCACACCCCACAGATTGTGTGTGTGTGTGTGTGTGTGTGTGTGTGTGTGTGTGTGTGTGTGTGTGAAAGAGAGAATGCCCTGTTACACTTGACTGTTTCTGGTGAAGGGGTCACACACCAGGCGTGTGTGTGGGTGCAGCATCGTGTGTGTGTGTGTGTGTGAAAGAGAGAATGCCCTGTTACACTTGACTGTTTCTGGTGAAGGGGTCACACACCAGGCGTGTGTGTGGGTGCAGCATCTGCTGTCTTTTGTGTGACACTGTGTGTGTGTGTGCACGCGCACACACATGCACATTTAAAGGCACACGTCTGGGAGGCTCGGGCACGTGGTGTTTCTCTGGAGCACCCAGTACCTCTGCAGGTTAGGATCCGGTAGGTTGGGGTTTGTCAGACTTGCTTTCCTGTCCCTTGTGGGTCTGCATCCGGAATGCTGTCTTTTGGGTGCATTTGGAGCTGCTGAGAGGGTGCCCCCCTTGGGCTTCTGTGTTGGGCCCAGTTTGATGGTTGTCCTCTGGCCCAGCTCACATGCTGGTAGGTCCTCTCTCAACCTCCCTCCCCTTCTCACATGGAGTCTGCCTTGTTTTCCTGCCTGGGTTTGGAGTCCCTGAGGCGGGAAGGGGGACAGAGCATGTGGCATGGGGCTGAGCATCGGGGCAGGACCCTCTGGGGTCTGGTAGCTGGGAGGCCCTCCTAAGGAGCTGTGGAGGTGGTGTGTGTTAGGTGTTGTCTGCTAACCAAGAGGTCAGTGATTCAAATCCACAAACCTCTCTGTGGGAAAAAGATGGACAGCCTCCTGCCCTAAAGATTTCCACCCCAGAAACCCAGTGGAGGGCTGAAAGTGACTCCAGGGTAGTGGGTTGGGGGTTGTTTCTCTTTTAGTTGAAGACCCCTCCCATTTTGCCACAGCTGCTGAGTTTAGGTGATGGGGGGGCGGCAGGTGTGTGTGTGGGCTGTCCTGAGGGAGCTGTGGTTGTCACAGCAGGTTGACTCTGTGTGTGTGGGGGGGGGGGTGGCAGGCTCATCTGTGTCATGGTGGTGTTACCTGTGGTGCCTGGTGGGCTGTGTCTGGGGCACGATGCCACACTCACTGTCTCCACCACGTTGTGTGTGATTTTAGCCTTCGGGATCGTGTGTGTGTGTGTGTGTGTGTGTGTGTGTGTGTGTGTGTTGCATCCTGCAGCTGGGTTGTTAGTGGGCCCCAGTCCTGAGGGCCCTGGAAGCTCTGTCCCCGTTGTGCTGGGTGGGGGAGCTGGGAAAACATGGCCTCATGGCTCAGCCCTGGTGGTGCACTTCATGGGGTCGTGCCCAGCAGGAGGGGGGCACTCTGCTGTGTCTGCCAGAGTGAGGAGAGGTCTGCCATGGTTGTCTGTGGGTTAGTGCACACCCGTGCTTACCTACCACAGACATAGGATGGATGTAAGGAAAGGGCATTAGATGGACATGGGGACGGGAAGGGTAGAAATCCATTTAAGTACAGACAGGTGTCCACACAGCTACCCTATGTGTCCTGGGTGGAGTCAGCAAGGTCCTCAGGAAATAAGGGGTGGGGGTGGGTAAAGAGGGGCAAGAGAGAGGAAGGAGGGGAGACAGTGAGGCAGGATCTTTTCAGAGGACAAGAGACCAGGGCTGGTTGGGGCTGACACTGTGTAGAGATGCCCTAATCTGCAAGCTGCTCCCCACAAAGTCAAAGATGCCAGAAACTGGCCTCTTTCCGCCTTCACCCTGAGGACGCTGAAGGAGGAGGGTTAAACAGGGAAGTACTTCTCCAGGGCCTCCAGGAGGTTGGGTCCTCTCCTACTATTTGAACAGTTTGAGACCAGACATGGTGGGAGGTTGGGGAGGTGGGTGTGGTCTGGAGGGTGGAGCCTGGGCCCTAAAGACCATTGGGAGGCTGCTAGCCCCCAGGTGGAGTCAGCAGGATGGGGCCAAGCAGGACCTGGGAGCCTGGACGTGGTGTCCTGACCTGGGGCCCCTCCCCGGCCTCTGTCCCCAGGGTTTGCCTTCCCGGATTGGGCCTACAAGCCGGAGTCGTCCCCTGGCTCGCGGCAGATCCAGCTGTGGCATTTCATTCTCGAGCTGCTGCAGAAGGAGGAGTACCAGGGAGTCATCGCCTGGCAGGGGGACTATGGGGAATTCGTCATCAAGGATCCTGACGAGGTGGCCCGGCTCTGGGGCATCCGCAAATGCAAACCCCACATGAATTACGACAAGCTGAGCCGGGCCCTGCGGTGAGGAGAGCCCGAAATGTGGACCTCCATCTCTTGCCTGTCATCCCTCCCATCTCTGGTTCCTTAGTGGGGGCAGAGCTGTGTTGTATCCCCAACACCCAGGAACCTGTAGTGAGAGGAAGCCCTGGGTTCTGGAACCACACAGAACAGGATTCAATCCCTGCTTTGCCCTGTGACCTTGATAAGGGGCTTCTTTGTGCCTCAGTTTCCCTGAATTCTTGTGCCCTGTGCCTGCTGGTAGAGTATGTGCTTAAAATCTTCAAGATCCCAGCCCACAGCTGTCCCTGCACCCCTCCAGGGGTCCCCTCACCATAGTAGCCCCCACTCTCTCTGTCCCCACAGCTATTACTACAACAAGCGGATTCTCCACAAGACCAAGGGAAAGCGGTTCACCTACAAATTCAACTTCAGCAAAGTTGTACTGGTCAACTACCCTCTACTGGATGTGGCAGCGGCTGCCACTGGCTCACCTCTCCTGCTGACCCCTAATCCCTTTGGGGGCACCCCTGGAACAGATGCTCCTCCCCTCACCCCAGAGGTGAGTTAGGGGATAGGGCCAGAGCTGGGGTGCTTGGTGATTTGGGGGACCAGGATATGAGGCTGAGCAGCTCCATCCACATCCCCCAGACCCTGCAGACACTGTTCTCTGCCCCCCGGCTGGGAGACCCAGGGGCCCGGACATCCCTGTTCACCCCTGAGACAGACAAATTGCGCCTGGACAGTCCTTTCCCATTTCTGGGTTCTGGTAAGAACTCGAGGGGTCATGACATGGCTGGTGAAGGGGTCTGTGCGTGCATGCATGCACGTGTGCTTTAACAAAGCAGGCAAAGGTGTTGGGGCGGTGTGTGGACAATGGTAGAGGGCCAGGCTGAGCAGGGCATTTGGGGGTGCTAAAGGGAGGGGAGGCAGAGAAGAGAAGGTGGAGACCTGGGCAGGGTGGGGATGCCTTATGGGCAGGTGAGGGGAGGACAGAGTAAGTCTAGTGGGAGGGGTACTCTTCACTAGCCCCATGCAAGTGGATGCCAGCGCCCCCATGTGGAGGGGCCCAACCTGACACCTGTCCTCCACTAGGTGCCACTGGCTATTCCAAGCCCCCTGGCCTGCTGGGTCCTTATGGTCGCACCTTCCCAGAGTACCCTTGGAACTTTAACCCGTACCTCGCCGGCCCCTTCCCCAAGCTGTCCCCATCTCTTTACCCCCCACACTTCTACCCCAACCCTCTGGCCAGTTCCCTCGGCCATCTGCCCGCAGCAGGGGCAGGGGGAAGCCCCACCACGGTCCCCCTGCTCACTGCCATGGGAGAGGGCCTGGGCCCTGAGCGCCCCTCAGGCCTGGCAGCAGCCCCCCGCCTGGCGCTGCCAGGCACTGGGGGGGTGGAGGCCTCCCTGGGTGGGAAGGACAGTGATTCGGAGCTGGAGATCACTGACGTCAGCGGCTGCAGCTCTGACAGCGAAGGCGATGAAGGCCTCCCCGTGCCCCCCAAGGCCAAGATGGGCAAAGGGGGTGCTGGCAGCTGAGCTGGCAGGAAGCGATGGATTGTGGCGAGGCAAGCACCAGGCACAGGACCTGGCAGCCTACTCCTACCTCCTAGGCTGCTCCAGTGGTGCTTCTGGTCCTGCCTCCAAGGTCCAGGCCCAGCCCTCAGTACCCCCCAAGGCCAAGGACTTCTCTGCCCTCATCTCATCCCCCAAGTGCAGAATGGGGGGGGTCTCACCTCTCCCTCTGGAGAGGGAGCACAGAGTGTGATAGCCCCCAACCTCCTCCCCAGGCTCCAGTTTGAGGGGGTCCCTGCCTGACCCTACTCCCAAAGTGCAATATGGCGCCCAGCCGCCTCTCCTGCCCCTGTGCTGTGACCTCTGTGTTTGTGTGGTGTGTCTGACCCCTTGTGCCAGCCCTGGTCCCGACACCCACCCCACACCGGCCCCCCTGGGGACAGGGAGCTAAGAGCAATAACCCCGCCCCCAGCCCCCACCCAGGAGGGGACCTCACCCCCCAAACTCCTCCCTCATGACCTCTATCAGCCACCTCCAGAGAGTTTACTAAAAAAATAAAAGAAATGAATGTGGGATGTGGCCCATCCCTTAGTGTTGTGGGGAACTGGGCTGTCTGGGGGTTGGGAGTGCGGGTGTATATGTGTATAAACTCCTTTTATCAAATCTGTGCACTGGGGGTATCAAATGAATGCCCACCCCTCACACACATACACACACCTTTCCTTAGATAATATATATTAAAAAATAAACCTCCGATTCCGGATATAAAAACAGAGCAAAGGCACTTGGGGGTGGGGTATGGAGGGGTGGCCCCCCAAGGCAATACTGAGATGGCCCAGGAAATGGGAGTCACTGTGATACCCCCTGGAATGGAGCCCTGAGTCCTCCAAGAAGAAGGCAAAAGGGGGGAAATTGGGGCCAGTTGTGGGGGTGGGGTGCAGTGACCCCAGTCAAGCCCTTCCCTGGTGTAGCCTCCAGCGGCAGCCCCTCTCCTCAGGCCCCGGCGGTGTGGAGATTCTGCAGCAACAGAAGGGGTGGTCGAGGAGGCAGCCCCACACGTGTCCTCTTCTTCCCTGGTCTGCTTCTTCTTGCCAAAGGCCTGGGGTGCAGAAGACGGGCAACAGGAAGAGAGGTTATTAAAGAGAGGGAGAAAGACTGACATAGAGAAAGAGAAAGCGATACACACACAGAGAAGATGGGGAGAAAGAGACAGAGACATACAGAGAGGGAGACAGAGAAAGAGAGAAATGGAGGGAGACACAGGGAAGGAGACAGGGAGAGAAAAAAACAAATATGAGAGAGAGAAGGTGACAGACAGATACAAGGAAAGAGGGAGAGAGAGGAAAGAATAGAGGGAAACAGACCCAGGAAAAGAGAGACACAAACAGAGAGGGGGACAGGCCCAGGGAGAGAGACAGAGACACAAACAGAGAGAAGGACAGACCCAGGGAGAGACAGACACAGACCTAGGGAGAGACAGAGACACAAACAGAGAGGGGGACAGACCCAGGGAGAGACAGAGACACAAACAGAGAGGGGACAGACCCAGGGAGAGAGACAGAGACACAGAGAGAGCAAGTTGGAGAAAACAGGCAGAGCTATGACCAAGGGTGGCGGTGTGACTGAAAAGAAGACGACAGGAAGGCAGAGAGCAAGAACACAATCTCAGACTGACAGGAAAGGACAGACGCAGAGACGTGAGGTGGGAGTGGGGAGATCTGGGAAGACAAACAGAAACAGAGATGGAACTGTAGAGAGGGCAGCATCTGAGGCCCCCCACCTTAGGGTAGCATCCTGACCCCCCCTCCTTTCCCTCAGCCTCACCTACTTACCTGCCTAGGGCAGAAGCCTCAGGTGCAGCCAGGCTAGGGACCAGTGTTCCCACAGAGCTGTGACAGGACGAGTCGCAGGCGACAAAATTCTTCCTCCACCTCCTGGTGATGGGGGTGTCAGTGATGAGAGGGGACCCCATTAAGGCAGTGGCACCCCCCACCTCATCAAGCTGGCCCACAAACCTCCAGCTGCTTCAAGTTCTCCTCCAGGCTGAGCAGCTTCTCCTGGACCTCCTGGGTCTGTGCTGAGCTCAGGGGACCGCCACCCGGCACCCCATCCCCTTCTCGGGGAGGCCCTGCCCCACTGTCTTCTTCCACTGGCAACAGGAGCTGTTTCATGGATAGCACTGGGGGTACGGAGTGAGGGGGACAAATCAGGAGGAGCTGGGGGCTGCGGGGAAGGGTTGGGTCAGTAAAACAGGCTAGGCCTTCTGGATCTGGAGGTAAGGGGCCATCAAGCAAGGTGAACCTAGGTCAGGACAGGCCTGTGTAGGGGGCTGGGACAGGAGTTGGGATGGGGAACTAATGCTGGGCAGGGCTGGAGGGTAGGAGGTGGGGCTGGGGACAAAGCTGGCACTGAGCATGAAGCGAGGTTACAGAAGGGGCGACTGGGGTCTGCCCAGGATGGCAGTGCAGGCTACACATCCCTCTTGTTGTGGACTCTGGATTTGTCACCAGGACAGTTTTCTGGCAGCTGGGCATGCAGAAAGTTATAAAGGGGCATCCTTCCTAGTTCCCAAACATGGACCCAGGGATCTTGGGGCAGGAGGGGGAGGAACAGGGGATGGGGATCTTGGGAACGAGCACAGAGAGCAGAGCTACCTTTCTGAATGGCAGTGGCAGCGAGCTGACCCTCGGGGCCCGGTCTGCAGAAGGGCAGGAGGTCACTGAGGATTCTCTCCAGGCGGCCTGGATAAGAGAGCAGGTGGGGTGCTCAGCCCCTGTTGAACTTTCTGGGGATGCTGCCCAGTCCCCGGAGACCCTCACTCCCCAGAGGTCTCACCATCAGCTGGAGGCAAGTCTCGGCCACCGTTGGGGCTTTCTGAGCTGCTGAGCAGGGGTTCTCTAGTGCTGGGGAAAAGTGCTGAGTGAACCCCGGATCAGCACCCTCCCTGAGAGCAGTGGGGGCTGGGAGACAGAGTGGGAGGTGGGAGCCAGAGAGCCTGGTGGTGGGAGATAGCCCACCCCCTGGGACCTTGAGCCCTCTCCTTGGCCACTCTTACCTGCTAGGGCTGGGCCGGGGTTTGGGGCGGGAGGCAGGGGCAGGGACCTTCAGGGATCCAGCAGTCTCCGTGATGAGAGTGCACCAGCTGAGGAGACAGGGGAGCCCCTGGACAGTCATGACCTCTCAGGGGCCTCCAACCCTACCCTGCTCCACCTCCTCCTGACCCCGCCCAGGCCCCCAGGGCCCCTGCCCTCCACGCCCCACCCCTCAGCTGCGGGAAACCTCACTTCTTTCGCTCAGACACAGACTGTGCCACCAGCTCATAGATCTGGGCCTCCTGGTCCCACGTGAAGATGACATAGAAGGCTTTGTGATCTGTGGGACAGGGTGAGGAAGATGGGATCAGAGTCGGGGTCATCCTCTATTACTAAGAGCGTGGTGTCTGCGCAGCTCACAAGATTCACTCCTCACTGACACTGACTCAATTTATTCTGCTGCTATCCTGAACCTTGGTGCACCCTCCTTGGGGTCCACCCTTCTCTCCCCCTACTGATCCGAAAATAAGTCCCATCCACACTTAACCATCAATCCAGGCTCAAGCCACCCCTGCTCACATTTGTCTCGAAAAAAAAACCCCAAACCCCAAATACATCTGCAAACCACCCACTCCAGTGGGCTCTACTCCTATCCCCTGTCCTCACGTAGCAGCCTGAGTGTCTTCAATATCGAACTGTGCACAAAAGTCACCCCGACTGGATAAAAGCCACAAGTGGGCTGCTTTCCCTATGCCCCGCAGGAAAGACGGTCAGCCCTTACCACGCCTCCTCAATCAGCTCCGCCCCATGCTGGTCGCCCCTCCCAATACCTATGCCTTGCCCAATCACACCACCCCGGCCCCCTTTCCCCGCCCCCTCTCTCGTTCACCCCTCCGACCGCCCCCGCCCATTCCCCCCTCCCACTTTCTACGCCCAGCCCCAGGCCGCCCCTCGCCCCGCCCCCACGCCAGCCGGCTTCCCTAGTACCTAGCCCTTGAGTATCTGCAGAGACAACCTAGGCGGCCAGGGTGCACTTTCCTCCCTTGGACACCAGGCTGCCCCAGCGTAGGCGAGCTCACCGGTGGCCACCTCGCGGGTCATGGCAGAGGTGAGCCGCAGCACCGGCCGCAACATGGTCTTGCCATCGGGCGTGGGCGTCAGGGTCCGGCTGTGCGACTTGAGCAGCAGCCGCTCGTCCTGGCGCTGCAGCAGCAGTAGCAGGTCGTCCAGCAGTAGCACGTGGACCTCTATAGGTGGGCGGATGGCAAGTCCTCTACCCCAGCATCTGCCAGGACCCCCATCCTCCACCCACCCCACCCCCGTCGTTCCAAATCTCCTCCCTGAGCCCCACCCCAGGTGCTCACCCACAGCCTTGTCCTTGGTCACCCGCCACGTGAGTGGGCCCTCGTGGACCAGTTTCTTCTTGGTGATATCCAGGTTCTAGGGAATGGTAGGGGTGATGACGGGCAGAAGGCGTTATCGGGGCACAGGGGAGGAGCACTTACAGAGCAGGGAGTGGAGTGGGCAGGCAGGAGTGTTACAAGGTGGCCCCAGTTGTGGTCAGGAATGGGCATGCAGTGGGGATGAGGGGGCCCTTCCTGCACTCTGCATGTGTTCTCAGCCTGGCTGTGGTAACAGCAGCTCAAATTAGAGAACTACGACAGGACAGCTGATGGCACCTACCTTGAACTCACTCAGCATGGGGTCGCTGCTCTGTTTGAGGTGGGACAAGTCTAGGCGCCGCTGATAATCCTTGAGCCTCTGGGGAAGGGATGAGGATGTCAGGAAGACAAGCCAAGGGTCCGGGATGACCTTTGGTGAGCTTGAGAGGGAGCTGACAGCCAAACTTGACCCCTGGACTTCCAGTGACCTGGGGGGGACAGGTCAAGGCCAGGCTTCACATTTGCCCATGGTCACCCTGTGCATCAGTTTGGGTCCCAGACACACCAGCAGGTCCTCCATGTCCCGCACGGCCTGGTTGACGTGGTGCAGAATTTCCCGGCAGCACTCAGCTGCCCGCTCCACTTTGTCCCGTTCAGCAACCTCTTCTGTGGGAAAGAGCAAGGTCAGCCCTGTGAGTGCCAGGCTCTGAGGCTCCCAGGTACTGGGTCAGGTTAGAGGGCAGAGGCCCCACAGGATGGGTAAGGCTGGGACCAGCACCTGTGTTCTGCCCGATGCTCTGGAGGAGCAGGGGGTATTTGGTCAAGCGCTGCATCTCTGTGGGGATCATGTCCTTCAGCTGCAGGCGGCGGCACCTTGGACGGCTCTCCGCATCCTTCAGGGACAGGGCACCAGGGTGGCCAATGCTCTTGTGGGTCTTCTCCCAAGAATCTGGCTTCCCAGTCTCTTTCTCCCTCAGACTAAGGACCCACCCTCCTCTTTCTAGGAATCTAGGCCCCTAAGATCCTCTGCCCTCAGAGCCAACTAACTCCCCAGGGCCCTGGCCTCACCTGAACAAAGGCACAGAAGCGAGGCTCCTTGCGCTGCTTGGCTTTGAGCTGCTCTAAGGCAAAAGACTGGCGGCTGCAGAAGCGGGAGGAGATTTTCTGGAACCAGGAGCCCTCAGCGCCATCAAACTACAGCAAGATTCAGGTCAGGGAGGGTGTCTCAGGTGGGACAGGGAAGAATGTGCACTCACCGGGGATGGAAGCCTTAAGTAAGATAGCACTGGAGCCCAGGTACATACACCCCTGGGCTTTGAGAAAGGAGAGGGTTAGGGCCCTGGCTCCAAAGGCCTGAGGGAGGAGGGGCTGAGGGCTGCATTCCAGGCCCCTGGCTGGGAGGTGGGAATGTTGGGTTACTGAGGTGGGGGAGACCCTCACCCTGGCCAGCAGCACATCTCCAATCTCCTCAATGAGGTAGCCACTGTCCTGTCTCCGCTTCATCAGGCTATCAAGGAATAGGGCTGTGGGAGTGGCGAGGAAAGGAGGGCTGTTAGGGAGTGGAGCTAGTCAGAACAAGCAGGGTTGGGCTCTGGGTGTGCCTGCATGGATCCCACCACGCCCTCCCCAGCAGTGGGCTTTGGGGCCAGGGGCCAGAACCGTGCTCTGGAGCACCCCCTCGTGGCCGCACGGCTCACGCCCAGGAGGCCCGTGGGCCCGTACTCACAGTGCACCTCGATGAGCTCGTCCAGGCTGGGGAAGATGTTCTGCAGCTCCTCCAGCGGGAAGAAGCCACCTTCTGCCATGGGCTGGTAGAAGAGGTCGTGCAGCACGCGAAGCATGCGTACGTGGGCCGCCTCGGTCACCAGTAGCTCTGTGGGGGGCCACCAGGGAGGAAGCAGGGTGTGAAGAGGAGGCAGGGGAATAAGGACAGGCACACAGCTGAGGATGAGCTCTTTCTGGAAACTGGCGGCGGTGGCTGTGTGCTGTCAAGGCAGAACTGACTCACAGCTGACCCTCCAGCAGGTTTTCAGAGGCAGTAAATTATACGGGCGGCTGCCCATCCTGCTCCTGCAGACAGCAGCTGGCTCCAGGATTGCAGTGCAGCTTCTTATCACTTTGCCACAAATTTCTCTCGGGACAGTCATCTGCCCTTTATGTGACCCAAGCTTTGGGTTACATAAACCCAAGCTTTGTAACTGCTGACTTTACAGTTAGTGGCCAAGTGCTTCAATGTGCCACATGGACTCCTTATCCCTCACATAAACCCTGAAACCACCTCCCTGCCATGGAATTGGTTCCAAATTGTGGTGATACTCCATCGCATCTCATTGGGTTTCTTAAACTTTTTTTTAAATTTTTTTGTGTGTGTACTGTCAAATTGGATCTGATTGGTACAAGAGGAGATTGTCCCTCCTCCAGCAGAGCATCTGGTGGATTTGAACAGCATACCTGTGGGATTGAAGTGCAAAGCTGTAACTCTTAATGGGGACAAACTGTGTCACTGTTCTTCCTCGGAGCTGCTGGTGGAATCAAACCTCCAACCAGCAGACCAACAAGTGGCCTGCCATGGCACCAGGGCACCTCAAGCTTCTCCAGCCTTTCTCCTTTTGCAATGGTAGCCAGATAGGGTGACCCATGGTCCTAGTTTGTTGCCCCCAATACACAATTATAAGGAACTAAAAAGAACCAAGATGTAAATGACACAGCCATCATGCACTGCCAATATTTCCATGTATTTTTCCCTATGGGAATCTTTTCCCCCTAAATTTGTAACAAGAAACAAAATTCCTAACTCCTTTGCCCCTAAATTGATTTTGACTCACAGTGACCCTGTTGTTGTTGTTGTTATGCACTGTCAAGTTGCCTGCTACTCATAGCGACCCTATGTACAACAGCCCTAAACCCTGCTCTATTCCTTGCCAATCTTATTGCCTCTACCACACCTACCCCCATTACCCCAGTGACAGAATCAATCCATCTCATTGAGGGTCTTCCTCTCCTGCACTGTCACTCCACCCTCCCAAGCATGACATCCCTCTCCAAGGACTGATCCCACCTTGCAACATGTCTAAAGTTTGTCAGACGAAGCTTCAGAATCCTTGCCTCCAAAGAGCAGGCTGGTCTCACCCTCACTAGGACAAACCTGTTTGTTCTCCTAGCAGTCCACGATATACTCAATACTCTTCTCCAGCACCAAATCTCAAAGGCATCAATTCTCCTTCTATCATCTCTAGTCATTGTCCAGCTTTCTGATGCATAGCAAGTAATTGCAAAACCAATGGCTTGTATCAGGTGCACCCTAGTCTCCAGACTGACATTGTTGCTCCTCAGTCTTGGAGAGGTCTCTCACAGCAGATTTTCCCAATGCAATTAGTCTTTTAATTCCTGGCTGTACCAAGAGTGTTGATTGTAGAGCCAAGCAAACTGAAGCTGTCAACAATCTCAATCTCGTCACCATCTATCATGATGCTGCCAATCGGTGCAGTTACGAGAATCATTGTTTTCTTGATGTTGAGCTTCAATCCATACTGAAGGCTGCAGTCCTTGACCTTCTGCAGCAAGTGCCTTAGGTCCTCCTCAGTTTCAGCAAGCAGGATTGTGTCACCTGCATAATGCAGATTGTTGATGAGTCTTCCTCCAATCCAGAGGTCACATTTCTCCTCATAGAGCCCAGCCTCCCAGATAATCTGTTCCACATATAGACTGAAAAGATATGGAGACAGGACACATCCTTGGTGCACACCCTTTCCAATTTTGAACCACACAGTGTTTCCTTGCTCTGTTCTGACGACTGCCTCCTGGTCCAAATATAGGTTTCACATAAGCACAATCAAGTGTTCTGGGATTCCCATTGTTCTCAGAGTCAGCTAGAGTTTGTTGTGATCCACACAGTCAAATGCTTTTGCACACAGAGTAAAACCATCCTATCATTTCCAATAGTGGACTCAATGGTACATAACAATAGCAACAAGTGAGCTCTGGTGGCCTAGTGGCAAGAAGCTGTGCTTTAATTCCCAAAGCATGCAGCTCAAATCCACCAGATGATCTGCTGGAGCCAGTCGTGGATCCAGGTGCCAGTGAAATGTGATTTGATGGCACAAAACAAGAAAAAGAAAAAACAAACAAAAACCAAACGAACCAACAACAGTGGCACGGCTTATTAAACACCGTGCTGCTGACAAGTTAGCTTTTCTGATCCACGAGTGGTTCAGCAGTCAGCTCCCGTAACGGTCACAGCCTTGTCCTACAAGGTCACTGTGAGTCAAAATAAATTTAGGGACTGTTGTTGTTGTTATGTGCCGTCGAGTAGCCTGAGACTCACAGCGACCCTTTGTACAACAATCCTGAAACCTGCTCTATTCTGGGCCAACTTTACTGTCTCTGACACACCTACTCTCATTACGCAAGTCACTGCATCAATCCGTCTCATTGAGAGTCTCCCTCTCTTTCTCCGTCCCTCTGCCCTTCTAAGCATGATGGGCCTCTCCAAGAACAGGTCCCTCCTTACAATATGCCCAAAGTATGTCAGATGAAGCCCCAGAATCTTTGCCTCCAAGGAGCAGCCTGGCTTCACCATCTCCAAGACAAACCTCTTTGTTCTCCTGGCAGCCCATGGTATATTCAACACTCTTCTCCAGCACCACAGATCAAAGGTTATCAATTATTTTTCTATCATCTCTAGTCATTGTCCAGCTCGATGATGCATAGCAAGCAACTACAAAGACTATGGTCTGGATCAGGTGCACCTTAGTCTCCAGATTGATGTCACTGCTCTTCATTCAGTACTCTGGAGAGAGAGGTCCCTGAGAGCCAACTTACCCAATGCATTTCGTCTCTTGATTTCTTGGTTGCTGGTACCAAGAGTGTTGATTGTGAAGCCAAGCAAGCTAATGCTGTTAACAATCTCAGTCTTCATCATCTATCATAATGCTGGCAGTTGGCCCACTGGTGAGACTCTTTGTGTTCTTGATGTTGAGCTTCAATCCATATTGAAGGCTACAGTCCTTTGATCTGCAGCAAGCATCAGGTCCTCCTCAGTTTCAGCAAGCAGGGTTGTGTCATCTGCATAACACAGGTTGTTGATGAGTCTTCCTCCAATCCAGATGCCACATTACTCCTCATGCAGCCCAGGCTCCCAGATGACCTTCTGCATATAGATTGTATGGAGATAAGACACATCCCTGGCATATACTGTTCCTGATTTTGAACCACAGAGTTTCCTTGCTCTGTTCGGACAACTGCCTCCTGGTCCAAGTATAGGTTTCAAATAGCAAGTGTTCTGGGATTCCCATTCTTCTCAGAGTCAGCCACAGTTTGTTGTGATCCACAAAGTCAAACGCCTTTGCATAGTCAATGAAACGCAGAAAGACATTTCTCTGGTACTGTTTTCAGCCAAGATCCATCTAACATTAGCTACACTATCCCTAGTACCACAGGGTCTTCTAAACCCAGCCTGCACATCTTGCAGTCCTCTGTTGATGTACGGGCTCCAGTCATTTTTTGATAATTTTCAGCAGAATCTTGCTTGCATGTGATATTAATGATACTGTTCGATAACTTCCGCACTCTGTCGGGTCACCTTTCTTTGGAATGGGAACAAATATTGATCTCTTCCAGTCAGTTGGCTGGGTGGTTGTCCTCCAGATTTCTTAGCACAACTTAGTGAGCACACACAAGGCAGCATTTGTTTATGGAACTGTTGAAATATATTAATTGGTATGCCGTCAATTCCTGGGCCTTGTTTTTTGCCAATTCTTTCAGAGTAGGAAGAATCCTTCATCACCACAGGCTCTTGCTCGTATGTTGTTTCATTAAATTTTTCTGTCAGCTAATTCCTTCTGGTACAATGACTCTGTGTACTCCTTTCATCTTCTGTTAATGCTTCTTGGATCATTTAATATTGTGCCCAAAGTGTCCTTAGCATTGAAACTCCTGGCTTGAATTTGTTTTTCAATTCCTTCAGCTTAGGAAATGCTGAGCAAATTCGGCCCTTTTGGTTTCTGATTCCAGCTCTTTGCACACTTCATTATAATATCTTGCTTTGTCTTCCCAAGGTGCCCTTTGAAATCTTCTGCTCAGCTCTATAATTTCTTCCCTTTCCTCTGGCTTCTCGGCATCCTGGTGCAATATTCAGAGTTTTTTCTGACATCCATCTTGGACTCTTCTTCGTCCTCTGCCTTTGTAATGACCTTTTGCATTCTTCATTTAGGGACTAGAGATCATATTAATAGGGACTAGAGATCACATAGAATGTTCTCACGTTGCTTCTGATTCATAGTGACCCGATGTTATCAGGTGCGATAGGGTAGACTGTGACTCATGGTGACTCGAGGAACCAAGCACTCAAACCTTGCCCTGTGCCACCCTCAGCATCTCCGATCTACTCGAGCCCCCGTCACAGTCACTGTGTCAACCCATCTTATTAAGGGTCTTCCTCTCTTTCTCTGATCCTTACTTTCCCAGTATGATGTCTTTTCCCAACTCTATGGGTCCCATTAAAATGCTTTTACTCTGTGGCTCTTTTTTACCTTCACGACAACCTTCTGAGGTCGGAACTATTATTACTCATGCCTTCTAAGTAAGACGACAAGGGATCCCTGACAAACGCAATCATGTATACCATTTTTGGCTCTTAACAGAATCTACCCACTGATGAGTCAGTGCTGAGTCACTGGGTTTCCAAGGCTATAAATCTTTACATGAGGAGACTGCTCATCTTCTCCCATGGAGCACCTGGTGGGTTCAAACTGCCAACCTTTCTGTTAGCAACACAACACGTAATGCACCACGCCACCAGACCTCTTTTTTTTTTTTTTTTAAATTTTGTGTGCGTGTACCGTCAAATCAGATCTGACTGGTACAGGAGGATATTGCGCCTCCTTCTCCGGCAGAGCATCTGGTGGATTCGAACCGTGTTCCTCTGGGATTGCAGTGCAGCTTCTTGCCACTAGGCCACCAGAGCTCCCCTTTAGAGCTCTTTTCTAACACATTATCAAAAGTTCCTGGGAAATGTGATTTTGATGGGCACACAGCATTCCATCAGGTGTCTGTAACACAGTCCTGTTGGTCACAAGCCACCTTCAAGTTCTCCCCGTGGTGAATTACATACATGGGGAGGGATATCTCCCTGTGTCTGCGCTTTGTCACAGCCAGGCAGTGTCCCTGGTCAGAGGAGACAGTGAAGTGGGGTGCACTCACCGCTGATGACCTCTTGCCGCTTCACCTGGCTCTTGGGCAGGCTATGCAGGGTGCCTGGGGGGACCAGCTCTCGCCAGCCAGGGGGCTCTTCTGGTTCCAGTTCAAGTCCTGACCGCCCCGGTTCCCCCTCATCTCCAGGCTCAGGGCTGTGGAGCAGAGACTATGTTAAAGCCCTCCCTTGGGGTGTCTCTGGCAGGAAGCTTCTGCTCCTTGGTGTCCAAGCCCTCTTAGTGGCCTCAGGATTTGATGTCCCAGACCTGGTGGCCCACCTGGCAGGCTATCCCTGAATCCCACCACTCCTCTCCTCTTCCAAGGTCTGTGACCATGGCTGGCCCTTGGTCACCTCGGCATCCACTGCCCAGTTCTCTGTGACTCTGGCTCCACCCCCCATCCTCCCAGTGGGTGGGGGAGGGAATGACGTACGTGGCTCGTCGGGCAGGGCCAAGCACAGCTGTGGCAGAGCTGGGGTCCATGTCCACGTCACTCCTGGAGCGGCCCCCACCCCGGCCCTTAGCCCCGAGGCTGCCCCGGGAAGGCCGGCGGCGGTCACTCACCCGCAGGCTCTCCGAGCGTCCCAGACGCCCCGATAGCCTGGACCCCGAGGCCAAGGACAGAGTGAGGCAGAGGCCGGGACAGAGACAAGGAGATACCAAGACAGGGCAGAGACAGGACAGGGACAAGGACAGAGACAGAAGAGACCAGGACAGGGGGGCCGGGGCAGAGACAGGGGAGACAGGGACAGAGATGGGAACAAGGACAGAGACAAGGGAGACAAGGGCAGGGGGGACAGGGGCAGAGACAGACACAGGGGAGACCATGGACAGAAATAAACACAGGGGGTATAGGGACAGAGATGGGGACAAGGACAGAGACAAGGGAGAGCAGGACAGGGTGACAGGGGCAGAGATGGGACAGGGACAGAGACAGGGGTGAACAGGATAGGGGACAGGGACAGAGACAGGGGAGAGCAGGACAGGGTGACAGGGGGTCCAGGACAAAGATGGGGAGAGTTCAGGACAAAGATCAAACATGCAACAGAAGAAAGAAGAGAGAATCAGAGGAGTAGTGACCTCTAGGGATACTGGGGTCAGGGAGAGGGGAGGGGAATTCTGCATGGGGTACGGGCCTGCCCACCTCCCTTCCCTTAGATGTGGTGTATAAGAGTAGGAAGTGGCAAGGGACAAGGAGGGGACTGAATACTTAGCTCTTCCACAGGGAGGGTGATGTCCCCACTTACCCCTCATAGGGGTAGGAGGGGAGGGGTGGCCCATGGGGAGTAAGGAGGGGCTGGGGGTAATGGGGGAGAGGCTAGCCCTCCCCAAGCACCCACCTCTTCCACCTTCTGGGGAGAGAGGGGCACAGGGTCAGAGGTGGATTCAGATGGAACCCAACCTACCTCCCCGCCACCCCCAAGGGTCCCCAAAGCAGCGGCACAAGGACAGGCAGGGGGCAGAACCTGCCCCCCTAACCGTGAGGGGGACAGGGCCCCCAAGGCTTGGAGCACAGAGGGGAAGGGAGGATGGGGGAGCAGAGGGAGCAGCAGGGGAGGGGGAGAAGGAAAAGGAAGGAGGACTGAAAATGGAAGAGGAGGGGGAGATGGAAAGAGGAGAAGCTAAGGAGAAGGAAGAGGGGACAGAGGACCCGAGGAGCAGGGGAAGAAATCTTGAAAAGAGAAATAAAAGAGAGAAAGGAATAAGTGGAAAGAAAGAGAGAAAACAGGAGAAGACATGAGAATACTGGAAGTGAGGGAACAAGTGGAAACAGAGAAGTCGGGAAGGCGGGAGAAAACCAGGGAGCAGGAAAGGGAATCCCAGAGAGGAGGAGAGATGTCAGGAGGAGGCAGAGCAGAGAGCTCAGGGCAGGCGGGTGCAGACGGCAGCAGCACCCTGACACACACCCCATGAAAACACGCCCCACAGTCCCGAGGTGTCACTGTCTCCCACACCCAACCCTGGATACCTCTCTGTATCAGGACCCTCCTCAGTGCTCTCTGGGGGCGCTGGGGGCTCCAGGCTTGTTGGTCCCTGCGGGGGTGGGTCCCCCAGCTCCAGTGGGGGTTCAACACCTGTGAGGGCCAAGGGGGAGATTCTGTTGTAGGATGGGGAGGCAACAGCTAGCCAGAGCCTAGCCGACCCCAAGTGTGTACTTCATGCTTTAAAAGGGATAGACAGACAGAAAGATCTCTGAGAACATGGCCCTGGGCAGCCAACAAGGAGAAGGGGGTCCCCACCTGGCCCCAGAAGTTCTCACCTGGTTCTCGGTCTGGGCTGTCTGCAGACAGAGGGGGCTGAGGGACTCCAAGAGCATCCTGCCCAGGGGCCCCAACATTCCGGTCCCGAGAAGGCACCACTAGGCCACCCTTCCGTTCTGTAGAGCTTAGCTTCTCGGCTGCAGGCAGCAGTTAAGGAGAAAGAGGGTAATTCAAGTGCCAGCCCCTTCTTGCCAGCTCCTAGGAGCCTCCTTCCCCCTTCTCCAGGATAAGGAGCCCCACTCCACCCCCAATTCCCCTCAGACCTAGATGCCTAGGCCCCCAGCCCCCTCCTCCCTCAGACCAAGAGTCCAAGCATGCCCAGACCTCTCCTCCCTCAGACTCAAGATAGACACGTTCATTTCAGGACAATTACCTTCAGCCTCGACTTTGAGATGTCTAAAATCAGGCACTGAAACAAAGCAGAGTGAGACAGTGAGGGGAGTGGGGCTGCTACCGGACCCAGGGGACAGGGTGGGGTGAGGGGCGAGAGGGGCAGAGGCCTGGGCAGCATACCCTGCGGCTCTCCCCGGTTCCAGCGGGCAGCATCTAGGATGCTGCTCAGGCCTTTCTTGGTCTTGGGGGGCTCGTCAGACCGCCGGTTCCCCATCATCTGAGGGGGAATGAGGGAGGGAAAGGAGGGAGCTGAGCAGGTCTGGGGTTTAAGGATGCTGAATGGGACCCCAGATATCCAAAGTCACACAGGGCTCCCACTGGAGGTCCTGGAGAAGGGGAGGATGCACCTTCTTCCTGAAGAAGTTCCTCCCTGACTTCTTGTCCCCACTCTTGGTCCGAACACCCAGGTGGCGCATGTACAGGCTGATGGCGTTGACCACAGCGGCACTGTGAGGAGGGGACGGTGAGGGCTCTGACCCACACCCTCCAGACAGAAACACACACCTTCATACACACAACACACACGTTCAAACACAGGGACAAATAAACGGGAAGACACGACTGCCCCCTAGAGGCTGAGGCCCAGGCCTCCTACTCTCCTAGTTCACCTCCCACCTCAACCCCACGACCGCTTCCTGTAGAGTCTCTGCAGGAAGAAGAGGTTTGAAAACATCAAGGCCACACAACTTGTTCAGGGCCCCAAGACCCTGGAGTTTAAGGCCCCCTTCCCCACTTCCCTCAGACCCTGAGAGTAAACGCCTATCCCGCCATCTGCCATCCTCTCTGCCTCGGTCACCTCTTTTCTTCATCGGTGGAGATGGTAGGTCTATAGGGAGAAGAAAGAGTTTGTAAGGAATCTGCCTGCCAGAGGTCTCAGCCTGCCCAGTGCAAATGTCTGGACTGCTGTCCCCTCAGGGGTGAGGGATGACGACATGTGAAAGGACCAAGCACGGGAAAGGGAAGAGGTGGAGGAGAAAAATCTAGACGCAACTAAGAATAATCAGTATGGATGAGGTGTTCTCATCTGCTGAGGGCGGAAGTTACAAGGACAGGACCCAAACTCCTATGTAGGACATGGAGTTAGGGGCAAACCCCAGATACGGGGAGGGAACCCCAACACTGAGGAGGAAGTGTCAAATGTCAAGGTCCGCAGACCTGGGAATGGAACAATCGGGGCACAGCACAGGCCCCCTGAGGCTGGGGTGGGGGGCTTGTGGCAGGCCCCACTCACTGCATCTCTTCCAGGTGCATGAGCAGCCGCTCGGCCACGTGCCGCTCCCGGGCCTCGTAGCTGGCGCGGTCCCGGCCGACCCAGGCCTCCAGCTGGCTCAGCTCCTGCTCCCAGGGCGTCATGCCCATGAGCCGCTTGGAGCGGAAGTCCTCCAGCTGCCGGCTGATGGCCGCCTGCAGGCTCTGCACCACCTCCTGCACGAACCTCCGCTGGACGTCCTCAGAAAGAAGGTCGGGCCGAGTGCGGTCTGCAGGGGCACAGGGGCTTGGGGTTAAGTCCCTGGAACTTGGGACCATGGTCCCCACCCACCCTTGGGCTCTTGCCACCAAGAAGGAATGACTATCTACTGTCAAGGGGGCCATGGGAGCAGTGCTCCTGCTTCCTGAGGCGTCTCTACTAAAAGCCCCCCACCCTACTCCTCCTGTCCTTACCAAGTTCAAAGGCAACACTGGGAGGCACTGGTACCCGAAGAACCTGCTCAGGACAGAGAAAGGAATAGTGAAAAGAATGGGGTTGTGATGGGAGTGCAGTGGGGGAGGTGATGGGGTAGAGGCAAGGTGACTGTGTTGGGGATAATGGGAAGAGGGGAGCTCTGTCGTGGGGATGATGGAGGCAGTGTGGCTGTATATGGCACTGACGGGGGTTTCAGTGCGGCCATGGTGGGGTGAGGGCGGGAGAGCAGTGCGGCCAGGGTGGGGATGGAAGAGGAGCAGTGTGACTAGTGGGGAAGATGGGGGGCAGAGTGGCCACGGCGGGGATGATGGGGTGCGGGGTTGGTATGGCTAGGGTAGGGATGGATAATGGAGGGCAGTGAGGTCATGGCAGAGATGATGGGGGGCAGTGTGGTCATTTTAGGGATTGATGGAGGGTAGTGTGGCCACGGCGAGGATGAAGGGGTGAGGGGACATTGGGGAAGGCCCAGCCCCTCAACTGCCCTCAGCAGCTGGGGTTGGGAGGGGTGTGGTGGCTCGCCAGGGCCCAGGGCAGGCTGGGGCCTCTCTCACCGCTGTCTTCTCCAGGAAGCTGTGATAGAAGTCCAGGAAGGCCTTCTTGGCCTCCTTTGGGCCGAGGGTGCTCAGCATGTCCGCGTGGAGGCAGCAGAGCTGGGGAGACACAAAGGGTGGCTTTTCCTCCCTCCATGGCTGCAAGGCCCCTCTGGAAAACCTGGGGCTTTTCTCAGCCTCCTAGATGGCCCATGGTGGAGGGGCTCAAAAGCCACCTCCTCTGGGAAGGACTCTCTGACCCTCTCCTCTCTTCTCTCCCTTGCCCCACTCTGGACTGACCTGAGCCTACCTCAAGCATTTTGCCATGTCCCCTGCTCTAACAGGGTTTTTGCATCTGTCTCTCTCGCTCTCCCTCCTACTGAGACATTTACAGCCTCAGGAACCCAATGGAAGATTGTCAAGAGTCGTGACTCAATCAACAGCTGCAGTTGCTGTTGTGCGCCTGTCAAGTCAAAGCTGACTCAGCCAACCTCCAGCGGGGTTTCAGAGGCAGTTAATCACATGGAAGGAAATGGCCCATCTTTCTCCCTTGGAACAGGTGGTGGATTTGAACCGCAAGTCTTTGGGCCAGCAGGGCAGCTCCTTAGCCACCAGGTCACCTGTGTATACATGAACAGCAATGGGTTTTATTATTATCCCATTTCACAGAAGACGAAACTGAGGCACGTGGCAATCAAGAAGCAAGCTTAAGGTGACACAGCTAGTAACTGGCAAAATTGGGATTACCTAGAACTTGCGCAACTTGAGCTGTGTGTGTGCTGGTGGATGTGGGAGGCAGACTCTGATTAATCTGTATTATGGACAGACCCTGGTGCATAGTGGGGGGCTTGGTAAAAAAATAGCTGGCCAAGTGGGGCTCCCTCATTCACTCCATTTCCTGAGACTCTCCATGTGCTGGCTGCTGTTGGAACTACAGTGGGGACACCTGGGGGGGCTCCTGCCTTAATGGGGGTATTTCTCTATTTTAAGCAGCTTCAACACATCTACACAAAATAAATCTATACTCCAAAGGAAGTTAGTAAGCTTCTGCCCAGGAGCCACATCTACGTACACATGGAAGTAGCAAGGTGGTAAATCTCAAACATAGTGGCCAATATGGGTCACAACCCCTCTGGCTGTTAGCACAATCCTGGGTCTGAGTTCTGGTATCTGCAGTTCTCTCGGACTAGAAACCCTGAGGCTTGGGTGGAGGGTCCCCATGTTCTCCACATGCACACACAAGGGAAAGGGCAGCGCTTTTTTCCAGAAAGAATTCCAGGCAGGGACCTAACCTACTGTCATGGAGTCAATTCCAACCCAAAGCAGACCTGCAGGTCAAAGCAGACTACCCCACAGGGTCTCCAGGGCTGTCAGTCTTTCTGGAAGCAGATTCCCACATCTTTCTCCTGTAGATCAGCTGTTGTTGTTGTTAAGTGCCTTTGAGTCAAGTATGACTCAAAGCTGCCCTATGAACAAAAAAAGATCTGAACCCTGTCTGTAATGATTGTCATTTCTTTAATGTTCATAGAGTTTGCAAAGGCCTGCTATTTAGGAAGTGGATGCCAAATCCTGCTTCCAAGCCTGTCTTAATCTGGGAGCTCTACCAAACCCTATGTTAAAAAAACCCCATGATTAACCATTATCACATTTGATACACTAGTGGCACAGCATTCAGTATCACAGAAACTTCAAGTTATCTCAGAACAGCAAACTGACAGACAAGTGCTGAACCACTTAGAACAATGTTCTTCCCAAACACAATTAACATCAGGCCTGGGTCAGGTCCAATTGACTTTTAAATGCAAAGGCCTGCCCAGCAGGTCCTGGTAGACTTAAACAAGAGATTTCCAACCCACAGCTGGTGGGTTCAAACTGCCAACCTTCCTGTTAGCAGCTGCACGCACTCTTTAACCACTGTGTCACCAGGTAACTTTCATTTTCAGAAGCTGCACTATCTCCTGCCTTTCCATCCACATGCCTTTTCTTCAGCATCTCCAGGTGTTTCTTCCCAGTATTTCCACCTGTCTCCTTGCTTTCTGGATAGATGAACTAAGCACTTAGAGCACTTTGCCCTGAACTGAGTGAGGCCCATGCTGGGCAGCTGTGGGTCTTCTTTGGACACGACCTTTGCCTTCCAGCTTTATATGGCTTCAAAGCCCTTTCCTGCCTACATCACTGGCTGAGCTTTCTAGGCTTGGCAGGTGTTTCTGGATGGCACGGATCTGTGTCTGCTTCTCCTAGGGATTGTTTACCTGCTTTTTGGCTTATTAACTGCATTCTTTTTTTTTGGTCCTGACTCAGGGTCAGCTCTGATAGCTTAGTGGTAAGGAGTTGCATTGACAACCCAAAAAAACATGGTTTGAATCCATCAGCCTCTCCTCAGGACAAAAGATGGGTAATTTCTTCCTGTGGGACTTATTGCCTCTGAAAACCCACTGGAGGGCCAGGAATGAGTTGGTGCTGACTTTTTGGCCAACAGTCAGCCAGAGGATGGTTAACAGCTTTCTCCTAAGTGCTAACTACAGAGCTGTAGGAAGTGTACTAACACAGGTGTGCGTGGCACAGCAGCACGTGGGGGGCGGTACAGAAGGGCATCGCAGGTGTGTGTGCATGGAGGGGCATCGCGGGGGGCGTGTGGAGGGGCATCGGGTGTGTGTGTGGAGGGGCATCGCGGGGGGGCGTGGAGGGGCATCGGGTGTGTGCATGGAGGGGCATCAGGTGTGTGTGTGGAGGGGCATCGCGGGGGCGCGTGGAGAGGCTTCGTGGGGGGCACATGGAGGGGCATCAGGTGTGTGCGTGGAGGGGCAGTGGAGGGGCATCGTGGGGGCGCGTGGAGGGGCTTCGCAAGCATGCGTGGAGGGGCATCGCGGAGGGCGTGGAGGGGCTTTGCGGGCGTTTGTGGAGGGGCATCATAGGTGTGCATGGCACAGCATCGCAGGTGTGCGGGGCACAGTATTGCGGGTGTGTACGGAGCAGGTGCAGCTGGCTCATTTTTGTGTGTCTCCTTGTCAGGTTCTCTGCTGCTTGTCATGACCCTGTCTGGTCTGTGCTCACTGCCCACTGAAATCCCCACAGAGGCTATAGCCTTGTGGATCACACAGCATGTTTTCTGGCACCCATCCACCTCTTTTCTAGATTCTATACCAGGTTTTCTGGTCAAGGGCCTGTACTTTCCAACCCTCTAGCTTCCTGGTCCAGGTCCCCAGAAGCAGTGGCCTGTCCCTGGCCCTCCCTCCTCAGCCTTGTCCTCACCAGGGGTCCAGGCTCGAACTGTAGAGCCACGTGCTGCAGGAGGGCCATGAGGTGGGCTGGCCGCCGCTTCACCTGCTCCAGGCTCTGGAACTGGCTGTTTTGCTCCTCTGTGTTCTGGGAGGTGAGGGGCAGGGTGAGGAGAATGAAGAGAGGAGGCCCTGCACTTTACCCTGCTTGATGTTCAACTCATTAGGCAGGAGCCAAGCTGGGAAGACGCTGGGGGGCCAGGGGTTATAGTGGGCAGCAAATGCAGGCATTGGGGGAACTGATAAGAGGTAATGGCATAAAAGGGGGTGATGAAGACAGGAATGAGATCTGTGTGGAATGGGGGAACAGGAGCTTGGGGCAGGGAATACCAGAGGAAAGAAGGGAAGACTGGTTGTGGGGGAATATCTGAAGACGGACAAGTGGCCCTCAATGTGGGAGGGGACACTGGTGGCTGGCACCTCAGGGAGCCCAGGACAAGCTGTCCTTCCTTGCTCCCACTCACCGTCTCCAGCTCGTTTTCAAAATCTTCATCCTCAGCCCCAATGATGCTGACGGGCACCAGGCCAGGCCGGGGGGGCCCTGGGGCCTGTGGAAGAGGAGAGGTAGCATCAGCCCAAGGTGCTCCCCCCACCGACGCCACCCCTGTCCCCCCCCCTCATGGAGGCTAGCATCACTCACCGCCCCTCGGGCTGTGTCTTCCGCCTCCATGGACTCCACAGGGCTAAAGGAGAGGAGGGGTGCAGTCAGCGAGTGGGAGGAGGCGCAGGGCGGTTACTCAGAGATTCCTGGCCCAGGTGTGAAGGTGAGTAAACAGCCTCCCCCCTTCTGTTCTTCCCCCC